ATATCAACACAGCACATAACAAATAGCAACTAGGCGCCCAGTTTCAAATCATACAGTGGAATTGGGGTCCTTATCAACGGCACATGGACTTTTGGCACGGGTATAAGTTCTGACTGTTTGTCGTCAGTACGAGTGTCATTTAGTCCGTCGACATCGGATAAACTAAATTCCGAAATTCAAAATATATGATAGCAATTGTAAAATATTTTATATTATAAAATAGTAAAGTAAAAAAAACATCCTCGACGGTTATAGGTAGGCCTTTTTTTTGTCGGTGCTGATTTAGTCCGGCAGATAAGGGGCCTTTTTGGGCTCAACCTCGTTTTCAGACATAAAGTTTTTTTTATTTGTGATTATTCATCTTGGGGTTATTGCCCATCATTTCTACATGGGTGTGGAGTTTGCAGTCTTGAGCAATTTTTTTTACGGCTCGATATTTGTATTAGTGTTTTTCAATAAATCTGTGCACCATAATGACGCACAACCTGAACCCTAACCTGTTACAATACTATGTTCAGGTTGTGCGCCATCTTGGTGCACAAACAGCGGAAGCACCAAATTTACTATGAAATAAAAATCAATAACTTTTAGGTATTTTTTTGAACCCAGCTTTGGGTCGCGACCCATATATATATATGGAAATCACTGTTGTGAATACGCGTAATAAAAGAGTACTATTTCAAAATACCCGCTCTTGTTGCCATTACCCAATACAAGCCTGCTAATGCAGCAGGCAGTTGGTTAAGTGGATATATTACCCGGTGGAGAACAAGTCAATTATTTGTTTGCGAGAATTGTTATGCCAGCGGGATGATCACGAACGATGCAATGAAAGATAATACTAATACTATCGACGAGAACAAGCACATGAGATAATTGCTACATTTTATAGTATATCCCTGGGAAAGAATGTAGTTCATTCTTATTTTCCATGCCAATGCTTTTCAAACAAACCAAAGACTTTCAACACCTTTTGCTTTTTCTTTCTCTTCTATAAAATAACCATTGTTATTATATATTCGCTTTCCATCTGTTGTTCGTGCTCCCAGATAACCGAATCAGTGGCCTCAAGAGGGTCGGGGTCCCCTTTTAGGAAACCCTGTCACTAAACTATAAGAGGCTACCGTGCTTCTCTGCCTGTTGTCATGCCTGTCCCCTCGAAATTCAGCTACAACAAAAAATTCACGAAAACGGGCGTTTTAGATTTTATGATTTCCTTATTATTCTCGACAATGAATGATTATATATGCGGGTGGTAAAATGCCGAGTATTCCCAACAACAATGATCATGTTTTGGCAAACTACAACCAATATTTTATAAGTAACTTTGCTTGACAGAGCCCAAGGCCCAAGAGCATCTGAATACAAAATTCAAAATTATGTGAGGCCAAAAAAGTTACACTACAACATAGCAAATGTGCTGTATTTACGATAGATAACAGGTTTACCAAAAAGCATTACATGAAAAATGGTAAAATAAAGATCAATTTAGCAATATCTACTTAGGATTGGTGATATGCATCTGTTGATGATTTTATCTGTTTGTTTCGGAAGTTTAATACAGAATTAATTGTGGTTGTTGGGGATGTTTCAAAAAAAAGGTTGCATGGAAAAAAGGTTTCAAAATGTCAAGGTTTGAGAGTAGTAGAGAAGTAGAAAAAATACTCCCATGTGTTCTTCATTTGATAACCACGCCACAGAACTTCTCCGATAAATATACGCAGCAATTGCGAGAGGCAGAAATGCCAAGATGGGATTTCATCGCATTGCAAACCAATATTAGCGATTCTCAGATATATTCGCGCATTCCCATCTGAACAGCGTGGAAAAGATTATACCTTCTACACACTTGAAAAACTATGTCAGATGAGCGTCATATTATTGAATATCAGTAAAGGAATAGTGCAATGGGAAAAGACATATAAGGCGTAACTTTCAGTAATATGCATCAAATAATCTTATTGTGGAATATATATTTAAAAACATTTCGTCACGCCAACCGCAGTCCGAAACTTTTTGTCTCTGGCTGAGCTTAGATACCAATTGGCACTCATGTAAACTGGTAAGAGGCACGCGATGGAGCAGATAATATGAGTATCCATCCCCCAGCTGTCATTTGAGTAGGGTGCTGTTTTTATTGCAGATGATACTGATTTTTTGTATTAAAGATTTACTGGCATCACCGATTTAAGGATGTCAAGTATGGATATAAATAAACCATTTGAAAACCAACACGCGTATTACAAAACTTACTTCCAACACGCGGTTTGAATGAATAAAAAGCTGAAACTAGTATTCTTTAAACAGCATACAAATTCTATGGAATGAAATCATACACAAAAGCTCGTCCAAACCTATAGCTCAATAAACAAGTGGAATTTGATGCATGTTAGCAAAATGTGCGCGTTATTATGTACCACCGAAGCACGCAGGAAAATGTGTGGATGTACTAGTGATCAAAATGTTTGACTTATCTATTGGCATAACAGTGCACATCTCGGTTTCGCATACCATACCTTCTATCTCCACAAGGGATATATTAATTTGTCAAAGTCAATGCTGCACCTGAAAGGTTCCGGTTCTTCCAAACGAAAACACGTTAACATCGTTAGATACCAGTGGATGTTTTGCATGGCCTTGTTCGGAGTGAGACGACGAGGTCGAATATTCCAATCCATTTCAACTAATAGAAATATTTCCCAAGTCCCGAAGCTTTAATCAGGAAAACGAAATGCCCGCAGCAACACAATGTAGTTTGACGAGCGCAAAGAAGTGGCTAGATGCTGTCGATGATCTTGGCTTATATTGGTGAAATAAACTAACCATTAATCTACTAAAATGAATTTCTGACATTGTAAGGAAGATGCAATGTTATATGTATTCAAACTAACCCCGTGTAGTTATGAAATAATTGTTTTACCGAAAAGGTGCTCCGAAGTTTCGTCCAAGATGGCGCACAACCTGAACATTGCATGTGTATCAGGTTAGGATTCAGGTTGTGCGTCATCTTGTGGAATACTTAAAATCCATTTAAAAAAAAATTGCTCAACGTTATATACTCCACACCCACCTGGGTATCATTATTTATGTCATCGACATTATATCTAACAATAAAAAAAACTTTATGTCCCAAAACAATGTAATGCCCGATTCTGCGGACTAATTGATATTCTTTCATTTGGCTTTGACTTATTGCGTCGACGATTAGATTAGCCACGAAATAAATATTTGTAAAATGCTTTTAATCTGAACGTAGGACGGCGGCGCTAGAATGTGTGGGTGATATCGATATCTTTTAAACACGAATAACGATATTCGAAGGTCGCGATATTCATATTAATTTTAAATGGGACATCCGGGCTTAATGAGTTTACTAATTGAACACCGAGATTACTAGCGTTACTGTATAATGTATCTTAATCAGTTGAAGCAAACACCGAACATTAATTCCATATTATGTGATATATCTTTTTTTCGATCTGAAATAATGTGTACTATGAACAACGCTCAAAGACCATTGTTTTAACCCGTCTGCCCTACACAGCACACCTAATTAAGTAATAATTACATAGTATCGGAATATCGGTAATATCGGCCTTTTTGTAGTATCGGCGTATCGGTATCGGTATCGGCGTTTTTGGCTGGTATCGGATCGGTATCGGCGACAAAAGTGGTATCGGTACATCTCTAGTTCATCCACGATTACAAAGGTGGGTAGAGCCAGTAAGATTTTCAAGCGACTGGGACATGATGTTACATGTGACCACTGTTATAATTTTAAGCACGAGCCTCAGTTAGTAATGTCTTGTAATGTATTTATAGTCATAGGCTATTTAGGATTTCCCTAATTATTTTATTATGGGAGGCGGGAGCTATAGTGCTGGGACAGCTTAGAAGTTTCACAAGTCATGTTTGTGCCCGTTAGTTGACCTTTGACCTATGCAAACGGATCACGGTTGTTGTTTCTAGACTGGACTTTGCGTGAAAGCACCAGTTCTGCAGTTGGAATGTGCCGTTAGAGTAATTTTGGTGATCATACATTTGAAGTTCGAACCCACGTACATTTGAACCTTTGAACCCGTACCGGTACATCCGCGGGTTCAGTCTATATGAGGGTGCTAAAATCCATGGGTACGGTATGGGTTCATATATCCGTAAGAAAAAATTCCATAGCTGCAATAGTACGGTACCGGTACCGGTACCGTGTGCAGGTGCAACTGTCGTGGGTTTAAATCACGGGTTTAAATGTAGGCTACGTGGGTTCAAATGTAACGGAACGGTAATTTTACTTGCTTATTCAATATTTTTCAAATAAGGCAGTACGGTACTGCAGTAAGGCCATTCTGTTAGTTGCACGCTAAGAATCTAGGTTTTCATGCATTTCGCTAGGTTTAGACACGAGCTCAGCCAGTCAGCGGCAGTAGGCCTACAAGTTTATTTCACTCCATAATCACTAATCAGCATAACCAGAGTTACCCCAGCACACACTCGCTCACCCGCGGGCCAACGGGTTAACCAAGTATTTTACACACTTTATAAACGTTGTACCATATACGGTAACAGCTAACAGGCAATATGCAATAAAATGATAGATAAAAACTACATAAAAACTGATTATGAAATTTGGTAAGCGAACAAAACCCTATTCCAGTAGTCACTGACTGCACGCCTGGGTTTCCAGGTTTCCACACCGCGATCTATGATTGCGGCCCAATTTCTTGTGTGAAAGGGCAATGAAATTCAGACTGGGAGGAGTCCAGCAATCCTCTTGCACATAGCCTACCTAGCCCATCATGAATTCGAACCTGCGAACCCGACGCAGGGCAATCAGAGATGCTGTGGCGAGCACTTTCCTAACGTTTACCACGATGCACCACACCGACTGACTGACTGAATCCAGGAATCACTCTTTCGTATTTCGATTCCTGATTTAAGATTGATCAATAAATACGTACCCATGCCATGCTGTGAATATGGTTTTTAAAAAGAAATTTTTATTTTTAGTTGTTTACTGTTACCTGTTTGGGCATGCTAAATATTAGCAAGGTTAGGAATACTGGGAAATGATGAGATTTACATTGAAGTGTTTTGTTTATGTTCTTGGTGGATTTTTCATTGGTGTGCTTGCCTGTAACATTCTTATGCAAGGCTTCGGATTACGATGCAACACTCGAAGTTTCTTTGTACACCCAGTGGTTCAGTCGGGAACAATTGATGAAGAAGTTCGGCATGGAAACACTATTCCACCAAAGTCCAACATTTATTTGGGTAACGTTATAACTCTTCAAAACTGTAACATTACATGTACTTCAGGGGTCTCATGTAGTTTCGTACCTAACATACTTCTAGTGGGCGTAGCATGACAATTTTTTCACGTATCAATCCTAATCCCCACCTGACTACACCATTCAAAAATTACGTCAACATGACGTCACAGTGACGTAATAGAGTCCTTCAAACTATACGAACTGCCATCCAAGACGCGCAAACGAGCACCCGAAATCGAACAGTTATTTGTCTCGTTTTCGCGTCGCAACGATTCCGATAGGAGAGAGTTCGATAATGTCAGTCAATTCTTTATCGTCGGCGGCTCGGCGCCAATGCCATTTCGGGCAATTGTACGTATATTTGGCAAGCTCTATGACGTAATTGTGATGTCGTAGTGACGTAATTTTTGGATGGCGTAGTCAGATGGGGGTTAGGATTGACATATCAAAAAATTGTTATGCTACGCCCACTGGAAGTACGTTAGGTACGAAACTACACGAGACCCTACTTCAGTACTTGTGAATAGCAAACCACTTAAGTATCCAATAATTTAACTTGATTCCGCCCTGCAATTGCAACTGTCAAAAGCAGGAGCCGTTTGCCAACCCCTGGTCTAAAGTCTAGCAATATTCAAATAGAAATATACCTTGAGATTTGAATCAAGTACTTATTGGCATTATGCCAACTTATTTTTCCACAATACAGCTAGCCCTTTTTTATAAAATTATAAATGGAATTATAATGGGGAATTTTTCATTTTATGAATGAATTCCATATTACCGTATTACTGCTTTACTGCGCTTCTTATTAAGTAATTGGCAATTTTTTGTTATTTCCAGGAATGATGTCGGCATCCAAGTTTTTGACCACTCGAGTGCAAAGAAATATTGATACATGGTTGCAAAAAGGTGGATGGAAAGTGGAGGTTTTCGCAGATGCTGATCCATCATTATTGAGAGTTCCACCTGGACTAGACATCAATGTTGTAACGTCAGATTCATTTTTATATGTGTAGAAGTTGAATTGCCAAATTTAATAAATGAAAAAGTCAGCCTCTTTACACAATTCGACGCATCAGACCTTCATATCCATATATTTGAGAATTGCTTTCTTGTTTAAGTCTCTTTTCTTTAGTTTGCCTATTCATTTGATTCTCGACATCCAAAAAGCACTTATGTCTTGTTGATTGTTAGGCTATCCTGTCAATGAAATTACACTTTTGTTAATTTTATAATTTGCTTCTCAACTGACATGAAAACTTAGATCTAACTGTTTTGTTCATTTTTACAATCAAGGCTGCCAACTGTTGATGACACGGCATATCCTCCTCAGAAAAAAAGCTTCATGCTACTTCGGCACATGTATGATTATCATATCAATGATTTTGACTGGTTTATAAGATCTGATGATGACAGTTACACAGATTTTCCTAGGATGCAAAACCTTCTCAATAAGATAAATAGTAGTTTACCAATATTTTTTGGCAATCCCGGATTCGGTATGGATGAAGACGATGGAATAGAGGAAGGTATGTGCTATATATATACATAGTGTATCTGTTATTGTACATGAGCAGTGGCTTCAATTCAATACACTGTTTGCATTAAATCATCAACAAATCTAGTCACTGCTATTCTTCAATGTAATGCCATGATCATTTGCTACAGTTATGGAAGCATTAAAGTGGGGGAGATTATGGAAGACATAGGCTATTCCCCTGATCGGGAATTGTCAAGAATCCACAATGCTGTGTCTATTGTAAATGTTTAAGCAAAGTCCTAATATCAGAAATTAGTCTGCATAACAAGTTGGGGGTTTTAATAAACTTTTGCCTATTTGCTGAAAGAAGTATTAGTATTGCCTTGGTAAAAAGTAAAACATGAAGTGCACGAAAAATTCCCCAATGCTTGTTTTCCGGTGTGCCTGGTGAAGCCAAGCAATTGTACCCATTCCATTGAACTGTACTAATGAATGCAATAAATGAATGCTTGATATAGCATGTTGCTATTCTGAATTGTTTATCAAATCTCGAGACATCATCACCATTAAAGTGTCAATTCCAGTATGATTTGAATATTTGAATTTTAAGCAATCATCTGTTTCCAGGAATGAAATACCTTATGGGTGGATTGGGAATGATCTTCAGTCGGGGATTGTTGATTCAACTTCGACCTCATTTGAAGCATTGCATTCAACATCTTTATTCACCTCATGAAGACATTGAGATTGGTCGATGTGTATGGAAACATACCAAAGCAATAACACCGGTGGCTTGGGAAACTGTTGATCTTTTCTACCAACAGTATGACAAGGTATGTGATAAAGATTTCTGATATCGCTTTTTTACCGATAGGGATTCAATATCAATGGAAAGGTGCTAATATTAATACTCCTATATTATATTTGGCTATCAATATTACGCAATTATTATCAGCCTATATACAATATTTGGTACTCCGAAGTATGTGAACCACGATGGTGGACACCGAAACGTAGTATGTGTACCAGGTTAGGGTTAGGCCATAATTTTAGGCGCTCCCATAGTATGTGCACCAAGATAGCGGACACTGGAACGTAGTATGTGTACCAGGTTAGGGTTATGTCATAATTTTATTCCAATTTTCCATATTTAGTTCTATTATGAGTTTGGGGACTCGCCAAGTGACTCCCGTAGTTTTTGTACCTGATTTTGTGGCGTAATCCTAACCTGGTATACATACTACTTTCCAGTATCCGCCATCTTGTTCACATACTTCGGGAGTACCCAATATTTCAAGTAGTTAAATAGACAGGATAGATTTAGGGATAAACATGCACCCGACAACAGCGTTTTTCCACCTGAGGCATTTTTGCAGATGTGTCAAAGTAATTTCGAAAGATTCGGGACGAACTGCAATGAATGATTAGTAGGGGCGTATGTTTCATATTTTAGCACTCACTGTGCTATAATCACCAATGGTTTCACGAGATAGTAAAGGCAGCATATGTGATCATACATGATTAATATATTGTCTTGGCATATGTTGTATGTTATAATTAGAAGCTTACTGAAAGTTTTAGGGTTAAACCTTTAAAGATTAATAAAATAATAATTTAATCCGATTTTATTTGAATAATCAACAGGAGACTGGAGATGTTATAAACGTTATTATGGATCAGTTGACTCCGAAAAGGACTGCTAAAACAATCACTTATCATTCAGTAAAAACTGAAGAATTGGTGAATAAATTACATCATCAAATACTTCGAAGAAATTTACACCAGATTTTAAACAGAACAGCGAGAATACGAAATGAAATTGCTCATATGAGACAGATGTTGGAGTTGCATGAGGTCGGTTGATAGACTTGCTGGCGTTTGTGATATATTGGTATACAGTTATTTCACTGTTGCTTTATTGCACCAAATGTCGTGTTGACTTGCAAAAATATAAACTGTTGGTCGTGAAATACATTAGCCTTTCACAGTTTCTTATACTGCTTAGGTTAGCGTCCGGTACCGATATAGTTTTCATTCTAACCATAGGGTAAATCTGAATAATCATACTAGTTTTGGAGTAATTCATAATTGTATTATGTATATGGTAAATGATAGCGGCTATTTTGTCATTAGAGTAGAGTAACATGTTCTATTGCAAATCCAATGTTTAGTTCATTACTAGGGTAAAGAATATCATTATCTGCTGTAATTATCTTTCTTTTTTACAAATCTCAAAGATATCTCAAAGTTTCACCAGGTATTATGAATATTTTGACATTTTAACATTGAATCACATAGCACCAAACTAATATTTAATTATTTCAAAAGAAATCTGAAATAAAATAATTGTTAGTTGCAGAAATACTTCTTTATATATAGCAGACTACATTGTCGTGCCAAAAGCCAACTGTAATTATGAATGAATTTCTGTCTAGGATTCACCCACAAAAGAGAAAAGCATGGATTCTACGGTGCCAATATTATTAGGGACTGAGGATAAATTTCCATGGAAGAATGATGGAAACCCATGGCCTGAAGGTGCTTATTGGTACCCAACTGGTGCTTCATACAACAGAATATCATTCAAGAAACCCTGGTTTCATTGGGACCGGTACTATAGACATGATGTCAGTGACCCAATTGTCCCTGCTAGAGGTTGGTATTTATTGATTTTTCACAAACAATACAGCTGGTAATTATTGTGTATACATAAATTTTGGAAAGAACGAATGTCACTCTAAAATATTATATTATTCATCACATATTCATGATAGTTTACATTTTCTTAATGAAGCCGAAGTTACTGGGCTACCTATCTGCTAAATGATCAACTTTCAGCTCATTTTGAGAATGCTCATTCTTTTTTTTTTCACAGACAGCAGCGATTTTCTCTTTACAGAGATGTAATTATCTTTTCATATTGTACTTTTGGAAACCTTGCCGAAAAGCTATTGATCAAATGTTCTAATTAAACATGTATTGATAGTATACATTTTGTAATGACAGGTCATTCTAAAGTTGAGAAAGAAGCTATTGCATCATTGTTGTCAGATATTGAAGGAGGATTGCTCAAACAATCTTGCCCACAATTTCCTCCGAATGTTCAACTGAATTATGCATACATGCAATATGGATCTTTGGAAGGAGTAAAAATCATTACTGTTCATCGATCTTCAGCAGGCTCAACAATAAAATTCTGTCGAACTGCATCACAATGGTCTTATGGAGTTACACTTTTTGGTGAAGGAGATTTGCCTTTGGGCAATACCAAACTTTTGAAAACTGCACTAAAATCCTCAGTCGGATTACTAGGGCGTGCAGTTGGTGATCTTCTCGGTGTCCGAGAAGAAAATGAAGACGTTCCTGGTGGTGGTAGGAACAAGTTCCCCAAGGCCCTAAGAGAACTACCAGCTCTCATACCTCCAGATACAATTCCATCTGCAAACCATCGCATCATATTTGTGATTCCACTTCAAGGCAGATATCGTGCTCTTGAACAGTTTATGGAGAGCTATGAAAAAGACTTCTTGAAGCCTGCACAGGACTCTGCTAATGCAAATGTGGTTGATACTCGTAATGTGCAGCTTGCCATTGTACTTCTTGGTAATGATGAACAGGGTGATGACCTTGGATTGAATAGAGCTTCAGCCCATTTGCTTAGAAGTTATCAGAACACTTATGGATCAAGTTTACTTCGCTATCATGTTGCATCAACTGGAGATAGATCTTTTTCAAGAGGAGCAGGTTAGGATTAGTTTTTCATTTTTGAATTTATTAAGTAGCCTGCCCATTTGAGTAATATTCAAGTTTTCATACTAATGAAATTCCATATTCTGTGGCTGCACTGAGTGTAATTGTTTACGTTTCCTTAATTTCTATTCTTAGGTATAGAGCTTGGTTCTTTGGTTGGGGAAGAGAACGATATTTTGTTTTTCATGGATATTGATATGGTTGTAACTCCAAACCTCGTAACACAATGTCGTCAGAATATAAGACAAGGCCGAAATGCATGGTATCCTGTTCCATATAGTCAATATGATCCTGACAAACTTTGTTTTCATGATGAACTACCTAGACATATTGAAGAAAGACATGATTTGGTTTATGATGTTGGCGCGGGTCCAGTTCCGAAGGAAAGTTCTTCTAGGGAAAGACAACTGATGCGTGAATCTATTAAACGTACCCCACTGACCTTGAACAGAGATCGTGGCTTCTGGAGAGACTTTGGTTTTGGAATAGCATGCATGTACAAATCAGACTTTATAGCAACAGGAGGCTTCGATTTGACCATAGAAGGGTGGGGTGAAGAGGACGTTAGACTTTACGTTTCATTGATTCAGTCCGGTATTGATGTGTTTCGAGTGAGACAAAAAGATTTGGTTCATATCTTCCACCATAAATATTGTGATGCTGATATTTCCGGTGAACAAGCTAAGGCTTGTCGAAGAACCAAAGCTAGTCACTTTGCGAGTCAAAAGTGTTTAGCAAACATGTGGTTTAAAACGTATATCGCAAGATAATATTGTTGTCCTATACCTCTGATTATTCAATCACCAAGATAACATTTTGCTCACTTATCATCTGGTTGCATGTGTCTGGTGGGTTGCAATTGGAAATGGATTTTCACTGAATATTAATTAAACTTTTGTGCGAATATCTGGGGTTGTTGTGGCCGTTGATTTTTTGTACATCAGAGTTGGATTTTGGTCGGATTCACCATGGTGTTAATTTGTGTGAATTTGTGTAGTTCTCAGTTTTCTTCAAATCACAGTAAACAAAATTCATGCATTAGGTACATACCGTCTTTGTGAAGCATAAACCTGATCACTGTTTCCCCCCATATTTATTTATACCACTGTATTTATCTTATCATGTTTTTCAGTTATATATGACTAATTTGTTTTTGAAGCTCAATTTATGTAATTTGCACCTTAATAACCCAGGTACTATGTTACCTCATAGTTTGAATATGGATTGCTGGAGAAGTATTAGGGAAGATTTCCTAGATATTTCATTCCTGAATCAATATTAGGATAGAAATCATGTTAGTACAATATCCTTGACATAACATTTTCGTTCTGTGTTGCCATGTTTTTGTCTTGCTGCAACATTGTCCATAATACCAGTCTCAATTGTTTCATTAATATTTGTTTTAAAGGTATTTTGTATTACTGACAAACTAGATACCATTGACCATGTTTCGTAGAAGTTAGGAATTCGTAATCTCTAATATTGCTGCAAGTTTTGGGAAAACAAACTATGCAACTCGCTGAAGTAATGCTCATTTTGAAGATTCTATTCCAGCTTACGACTACCGGCAATCAACTATTAAATTATTCTTCTGTGTTCCACTCATTTATTTAACCTAATCGTTGTTTTTTGATTTGTTCCCTATAAATAAAATGAAATCTTCACAATTATATTTTTTCAATAACTATGCTAATATGTCTGAGGCCTTCTTATTGACATTTTGGTGGAAGTGTTGTATCATCTTTCATGTCTCAATATTAAGGATATGGTGATATAAACTGGAATGCAGTGCGTGTCTTGTTTAGAATTCTAAGTTTATTTTTTTCAGAATGCTCAGATTCTAATATTTCTTGCAATGGTGGTACTGATTTCAAAAAAAGCAATTGCGGGGGAAACCTCGAGGATCTATATCTTTAATTAGGAATGATGCAGTGATCTATAGATCAGGGTGGTCCAAACAATTTTAGCGTAGGCTACTAAACCATTGGCAGATATTTGTATTTATCAGCAGAACAATTTTGATTTATTTTTAAATTATTCCAACTGAGAATAGTTCTTTACCTAATCCCGATGTCGGGATTGGTGTTTGTTAAAATCACGGAATTTCATTGTTGTACATATTAGCGTCAAGACGATGCCTATATGGCAGTGGTTCTCAACCACTAGTGGTACGCGGAAGCTTTTCGAGTGGTACGCGAGCAGCTTTGAATTATTGCAACAATTAACTTTTGAGTTGGCTAAAATATGGCCACAACGCTTTATCTTCAATACCGTATGTATTCGCTGAACGGGTTTATAGCGCTACCAGTTCTTGTCTTGAGATCGACCCCACTACTTCCCACCTAAAACGAAACGATGCTAAATGCCTTTTAGCTCTGACAAATGCTTTCGTGATTTTACACGCAATAAATACGTTATAACTACTTAAAATTAATACGTTGAAACTTTGCGCGAAGGTCTAAAATGGATGTAGTGCCATATTAAATACTCCTATGGCAACTAACCCCCAAATGTACCCCATTTCATGTTAAAAATATGAAGCTGAAGGGTGAACGAGTGACTTGCAAGTCAGAGACAATCTACAAATTAGCAATATACGGCAGTGGCGGCGCGTGGTCATTTTGACCACCGGGGCAAGCTACTGCGGGACCAAGTCACCCCCATCTACGGGGACAGGATGAGCGCTGTAAGTTCTCCCATCATTTTATGAGTATAAAAACCATTCCATCGGTAACAACCAATCGGCAAAAGCGACAATTTTTAACGATAAGAAAGTGTCTTTAAAACCGGTCCAAGTCAAGGGATTAATAAATATAGACATAGTTTATTTTGAAACCTCTTTCAAAAGGAAAGGCAATATTTACCCAGATAAATACAATGACATATTAACAGAAACTTCGGGAAAGCAGACAAAACCTAAAATAAGTTTTAAAACGTTACTATGAAGAAAGGAAAGGTAATGCAAAGATAAGGACATGCGTCGCTCACTCATAGATATATATGCTGCTAGACTTCTACTGCTTGAACATATATGCAACACGCCGCGGTTTCTTGGAAGCAAAATGCTCAATAACGCGCTGATTAAAGTCATGAATCCCAGAAATAACGTCTCTGTGAATGGATAAAACAGCCAAGGAATTTAATCTATCTTGCTCCATTGTGTTTCTGAGATTCGTTTTAATACGCTTCAGCGTGCTGAATGTTCGCTCTGCGTCGGCGGAAGAAATAGGCGTCGTCAAAATGATGTCCAGAAATTTTGCAGACGCCGCAAAGGTAGTTACTAGAGTGTTATCTATGAGGAACCCATAGAGCGCGCAAGTTGATGTGATGTTCAAAAAAGTTTGATTGGTGTATATACATCGCAATTCATTTTCCAATTTACTCACGTTTATCATGGGGTAAAATTTGGAGACAGTAGCCAACAAATGGATGGGAAATTGACGTGCAAATTTTGAAAAATTTTTGGGGTTCATCAAAGAGAACGCGGCAAGGTGTTCCGTGCGCAGACGATCGCCTATTTGATTCACCAGAATGTCACAGCATTCCTTTGCAGACAAAATCAAACGCTGCGTTGTTTGCCCGCGGCGTAAAGAAGCACTCCATGTGTCGTCGTATTTTATTGTTTCCCGGATACGAGATACAGCACCGCAGAAGTCTGAAATACACGACTGCACAGACGCTCCATCCATTAGTCTTGACTGCAATGCGCCGTCTAATACATCCACGTGATAGAATATTGTGGAGAAAAAAGCGAGAAAAAATGAAAACTCACCATCTTCTAGCAGACGCTTTAGACCTGCCGCCTCCCTCACAGAGCGTTCGTTCCAAACCGGAGAGTCTCAATGAGCTCAGACCTAATTTCGGACACGCCCTGCACCACGCGTGATTGGAAGTTCCAACGTGTTGGTGCACAAGCTGGGAGACGGCGGCTACATATCTGGCGAAGGAGGTCAGAGCGCTTCGGCGAAACGGAAAAAAATGAAGAAAACCCCGAAACATTTGCAAAAAATATACGGACGAGAGGGGTATCAAGACACATATTTTTAATAACGAGGTTAAATTGGTGTGCATAACAATGTAAAAAATGCGCATGAGGTAAATCTTCTTTTATATAAACTTGAACACCATGTTTCGACCCACTCATGACTGCCGCGCCGCCATAAGTTTGAGCTATCAATTTCGACTTCGCGTTGTAAGGCTGTAACACTTATTTCAGTACAGCCGATATCCCGCAAGCCGTGCGATCAACGATTGGTACAAAGCTGTGAAATCTCTCGGTAGGTTTACCATCTTTCACAAACCGAAGAATCACAACCAGTTGGGAAACGCACGTGATGTCAGTTGTCTCGTCAGACTGAATCGAAAGGAACTAGCATTTCTCAATTTCCAAAGCCAAATGTTGTAAATAAATTTTATACATTGAGTCGAGCAAATCATTTTGGATATCCTTAGATGTCCCTTTCGAAACAGTTGCGGCATGAAGATGATCTCTCAATACTGTATCTGGGGATGCGGTGTATTCCACCATATCCAAAAATACCCCTCTATTAGAAGAGCCAGCCCGTTCATCGTGCCCACGGAGGGACAGCTCGTGACAACCAATGAACTTCAAAACATCTATCAATCGACCGAAAACATGGCGGTTTTTCTCGACGTTTTGGTTGTGCCGACGAATAGAAACCGCGCGTCCTTCATCCAACTGTGCTGTAATATTAACATTTCCGAATGTTCGGTATTTTACTGCATTGTCCAGATGCTCCATAGAAGATCCCTGGCACGCTCGGAAAGATGTTTAAGATCTCTAAAACCAAATTTACACCAACGTGAGTCACGGGCGGGAGCAAAAAGTAGGCAATAAAAACAAAAAAGTGCATTTTTGTCCTCGCTGTAACACAACCATTCGTGTTTTTTATACCAAGTTTCTGCGCAGAATGTACGCCGACGCTTTCCTCCGTCATGGGATTGTTCCAGTGAACAATTTTTTGGTTGATAAGGCCCAAGACGTTGTACCTCTAATTTTTGTTCCAGCGGCAGCTGCGAAAACGGAGTGCGAAGTAGTGCATCAACCTTATTCATTATGAGGTCTAAGGCTAAGAAATGCGAAGCCGGAAAGAAGTGAGGAGCTCAAAAGGAATGTGGAAAATCGAAAGCAAATGGACTAAAGGTCTCTAACTGATTCAAATAGCGAAACAAGCGATAAAAACGAAGGCGAGGAAACTATCAACTCTTCAAGCAACCAACGAACGAGAAGGAATGCGTGAATATGTCAACACGTTGTTGTAAGAAACGTCGGCATTGTGTCGTCATAATTTCGGGGCTAGCCCCGATGATTTAGTAAAAGAAACAGAAAACAAACGCGGCGAGTGGAAGATAAAAGAGAGAATACGATATACAATGAGCAACCGGGGCAAAATCGGCGCCGCCCCGTCGACGTTCGGCGAAGGCTTTGCGAGCGAAAAATGAACCATGTCGGGAGAATATGGCTAGTGTAGACAGTCTGTGAAACCGATATTGAGGTATTTTTCGAATATTTTTTATTATACCGAAAAAACAACCGGGGCATTGCCCCGGTTGGCCCTATTGACGCGCCGCCACTGATATACGGTAACATCACATTCATTTACCAATCATATATGCTATACTCCCATAGCGCGTTTCTTTTGTCATTGGTCCCAACCCTAGAAGGGAGTTTTGTTGGTGGTATGGGAATGCCCTCCTGTGATCGGTAAAAGGAAAATTAATTGTTTTGTGCAGACAGGACCAAGCCCATGAGATGAGCTGGCGTCAAGTAACTCCGCCCTGAAGAGACGTTTTGTCCCTTTATTCTAGTCAAAACACTTCTCTATTTTCAAGCGTTGGTCATGTGACAGCAGTGACAAACCGCTGAGCTGACTTTGCGCCGCGCGATCCAGCTTTTTTTTTTATCTGGGTCTGGGGTCGCAACTTGGACGGACTTTTTGACGGTTGTTTTTTGACGGTAGCACTAGGCCTGCAAGTAATAAACTCATCATACAATGAGTGCAGAAAAAAATGTGACCGAAGTGAACTGAGAGGAAACGCATTTCCTTACCCACTACGACGTTAAACCAGAGTGTCTGGTGTGTTTTCAAGTAATATCTGCCACGAAAGAATATAATTTTTAGCGACATTACAAAACCAAACACGAGAAAGCATACCGAAAATACCACGATATTTCTCGGGAAGCAATTTTAAAACAACTAAAGGCTTTATATAGTTTCCTTGAAAATCTGATGAGAACGATAAACTCTCATTCCTAAACATATTTAAAGTGAGTAAACTCGCTATGTTTTGATTACTTTGGGGTTTTCTCTGACTGCGGCTCGCAAGACCTCCTCAAAAGTTTTTGTGTCCCTTCAACCTCGCAACCTTGGACCACCCTGCTATAGATAATTTAAAGGAGCATTATACATCGACATATTTGTAAAACTTCTTAATATTTTTAGAAGTCAAACGCAATCGAGCGATATTATTGGGTTCTCTAAAACTGTTAGCCATATAAAATGGAACAACCCTGTGATTGTTATCATTTGAAAAAATCTGTAAACGCAGGGGAAATAAACGAAGAAACGTTTCTGGTCGAAGTTGAGACAACGCCGCTGCGTCGTTCAACTGGCTCGTGTTATCTGAATTATTATTTATTTTAATTAGAATCAAGCCGTTAAGTTGATTCGATGATGATCCGGTTGGCTTCGATTCGAAATTATGAATGTTACGTTCTTAGTCCCAATTTCAATACTATAAACCAGAATAACCTGGGATATCTATTCAAGATTGGGAAGGGAGAAGGTTCATACGACTCGGTCGTTCGGTCTTCACTAAAATTAGCAGATGCACCAGTCGCCGAATTGAGAACCAACATGTACGAATTCGAAAGTGATCATTTGTGACCGGATATCGTACAATACCAGTTTTGTTTTTTAAAAAAAGCTTCATTGCTCTGAGTGTAGTCGGTATGTTTATTCGGGATCCACCTTCTGTGGTAGACTGCCTTTCGACAACTGCATCATATATATATATGGAGTAATACCAGTTGCTGAAATCAAGTTGAAACCGCTTATTTCGCAATAAATTCCAAGCAGTGATCTTCTACGAGTTTTACGAATCTTCCATGAGGAGCTTTTGATTACATATATACTCGTGTGTGTATATATTGTTTAAATATATTCAAATAACTATTAGATTTGATAGTCTCTGACAACCGTTCTGTTTCGCCAGTATTAAGTTCGCTTTTATATTTATTTATAGCTTCTACAATTCTTGTTATTCAAGTATTGTAGCACCAACCCCCCGAATTTATCCCAATTGGAGTTTAAATTATAAAAACAAAGTTAATTTTTCAGGAAATTCCTAAATGATATTCGTAGGAATCAAAATTTACAACCTCAAGCTTTCATGAACATGTTTCGTCCTGTCATTAAAAAATTGAAATTCATTTTTTCAGGATATTTAAACACAGTTTGAAATAATATGTTGTTCTAGTCAGAATGAAAATTATAAGATTGCATTCTGTGTATCTTGGAGAACTACAAATAAAGGCAAATAGAGATGTTTCAACGGATCTTCATTTACGCTGGCGTAACCGACAGACTGTGTTCGTCGGTACAAGTTAGTCACAAACTTGGGACAAAACTCTAGCCGGCCAAAACTCGAAGTCAGACTTCACAAATCAACATTCAATGTATAGTCACATCTAATTTCCACAGTATTGCACAGGGCTTCCCCTAGTCTCTGGAATGTTTTATTGAAGTCCCACTCCATGACAGGTACATGCCCCTAGTTCGGGCGTGACTAAAAGGAAATAAGGTATAGATCGCCAATTGATTGTTTGAAAAATAAGTCTTACAAAATAGATCTGACGCACAGATCAGCTTAGGATATTTACGTGTCAATGACCAACATTCGGCCGTACTACGAGTTACGACACGAAATGGTTAGATACAAGAAAGGTCAAAAATTTATGATTAACATATGCAGGAATCATTTGGTAAATTCCAGCGGGCCAATTATTCATACAACAAAAAATAGGAGCAGAAAGAGGTCTAGCACAAAAAGAAGAACACTCAACTGAGCACTATCGTATACATGAGCATAGTAAATTTAAATCGGTTTATTAATTTTTATTGATCTGGTTTACATAAGTGAGAATCCAACAAAAGAATTTGTGAAAACTTATGTTATTTGTAATAAAATAATGCGGGAAAAAGGAGAATCAACTTTCCCGGAATTGGCACGATTTATTTAGGCTGTATATTTTAGAAATAGCTCCAAGTACCTTTTTGGCTGTAGAATTGAATCACCGTTAATAATGGGTAGCTTTTGTGTGGGTGTACTAAAGATCATGTATTTGGTCTTGTCTGTGGTTAATTCATTAGCGGTTGGCCAATGCTCTAGCATACTGTATATATATATATATGTATATATTTAAAACTAAAGTGCGCTTCACGAGACAATGTTTACAACCCTGCTTGAACATATGTCTGAGCGGCTGCAGAAACTGCAATTTCACGTCATTGTATACTTATTTTTGATTCGTTATGGTTGATGTAATAAACGAGGAAATCGATGTTCGGGGAAATCCAAATGTTAAGTAGCTAAGCAATAGGCAATTGTTGCACACTAACTATTGTATTTCATATGATTTTCATAATAGACACTAGCATAGACATAAAAGGAGCCAAAATGACAAACGGAAATTATGACGCCAAACGTGTTTTAAAAAAGCCAAAGTTGTGAAACTTGGTGTTAGAAAAGCCAATATAGCAATCTTGCCAAGACTCCGTGCCAATATGACAAGACAATCAGTAGCGGTGATGCGAGACCAAATTCCTATCCTTCCTCGGTACTATAGTATAGGGAGACGAGATGCGGTCTTAGGGATAAAGACTGTTCACCCTAATATTCAAAGTTCGATTCCCACGTTATTAATTTCACGTGTTAAGGAATGTGACTTCAATCTGGATTCCCTCAGACGATAATAAGCACACGATGTTGATTGTCGAATTGTTGTATATTATTGAAAAGATGCACGATCCAAATTCCAAATACAGATAAAATTGTACACACTTAATTCTTAATGCAGTAAGATTACGGTCAGATCACAAGTGGAACAAAAAGCACAATATTATAGAGCAGTCTCGGCAAACCGGAAACGATACGTCATCAAATTGGTCGAAACGAGAAAGGCAATACATGAAGCGAATGCATTATCGCTGGTGCGAAACATAATGCGACCTATTTTGTGAAATATTACATGCTATTAATATGAAAGGGTTAAATACATTATAATCCATAGTTACACAATGCACATTCGCTACAATACATTTGCACTAGTGACTCGGTATGCGTATATAAAATGAATGTAACAGTACTAAACATGACAATATCGTGCAATTCAAGAGTCCGGCTGAACACCAACACAAATGTATCTCAGTAGTAAAGTTCCGTCTCATTGATCTGATCGAAGTCAGACTTCCTCCTCATAATTCGTGAGTTCATGTGGTTATTCGTGTTTGCTTTAAAGATTTAGTTGAGTTTAAATGCAGCAGAAGGTCAGAGGAGCTGTGTGAAACAAGTGGGGGAAATTTTACCCGTCGTGCTCGCTTGGTTAGCAGCTCACTATAGGCCAGTGTTTCCCAACCCGAGTCCGCGGTCTCAAATGAGTCCGCGGAGCGTTCGAATGTTTGCTTTAAAGATTTAGTTGAGTTTAAATGCAGCAGAAGGTCAGAGGAGCTGTGTGAAACAAGTGGGGGAAATTTTACCCGTCGTGCTCGCTTGGTTAGCAGCTCACTATAGGCCAGTGTTTCCCAACCCGAGTCCGCGGTCTCAAATGAGTCCGCGGAGCGTTCGAATGAGTCCGCAACGAGCCAGAAATTTGTGCGAGCCGCAAACGATTTTGCGGAACCTAACTATCAGCCAGTTTACGTTGGAATTTACATAAAACATAAAAAGCAAGTTTATTCTCATAACATTAATCGAGTCAATGATTACTGAGTCTAGGGCTGGGCATATATTCGAATATTCAACTATTAGAATAGCAATTTAATATTCGAAAATTTGGTAACAGGTGACGTGACAGGTCACTTGTGCGCATCGCTCAATCAAACGATTAGATTTCACAACTCACTCACGAATTTTCGACGAAAACACACAAGTCGGCACACGCGTCGATAGATGGTGGCAACCCGAATTTTCCAAATTGAAAAGCGGCAATACAAAACACTAAAAATAAAACGGAGAACACAATAAGTTTCGTTTTATGATGGTCCGCGGCCGATTAAAAACGCTTTTTTAGACATTGCAAAACCCAAAATTTCGGGTGCTACCGTAGTATACGTTTACCCTTGGGATTGTTTGCTTCACTGTCCCAACATTGATACGCCGTACAGTTCTGGTGTTGTACGAACAGCTCAGATTTGTGGAATTCACAAAAATAGGAATCAAATCAAAATATAATCGGGCCCTTTACCACGCATTTTTGTGTCCACCACGGATTGTCATGATAAATTAAATTAACAATAAAGCAAGGCGATGAATATTAATTTTTTATTTACTAATATATTTTAAATATATTTTTATTAAAGTACTGAATCAAGTTGCACTTTCTGGAAATTTATAACAGATAGTGAGATTTTTCTAACGACGATAACAAATTTGCAAGATCGCAAAAATATGTAACAAAACTGAATACGAGAATATCGGTCAAAGACCGAAGACTTATCGATCGAAAGTTAGGGGATCCCAAAACAGCGCTCTTACTCCATAGTGACACCTTGTGTCCCATCACTAATTAATTAATAACTCGCTAATTATACGACATAATTTGCCTAAAAGCAATAGGCTTCTGGTCCGAGATATGATGAATGCACATGCAAAATCTGGAGCAGATTCAATCGCGTGCATCTAACAGACAGACAAATACCTATCAACATACTTACAAATTAAAATCGATAAGTAATAATCGGGCAATATAGCCTCACATTATTATGTTCACAGATTGCCGATTGGCATTTTAAAGAAGAAACGCTTTCACCTTTTTGTAAGTCGACGCAACCGCGAGTTACCATGAACAAAATTAAATTAATATAGAAAGACATTGGATTGAATATTGTGCGACAGAAAGCCAATTATACACTAGAAAAGTCGGCTCTTTTTAACGAACGCGTAATTGTGGCAAATTTCCGATTTTGAAATTCGTTACAATTCTGTTGTATTTGATTTTATTGCTTCTTCGCACAGAGTACGGTTAGTGTACGCACTTTGAGTCCTCAAAGGTTTTCGCGGGTGAGAAAATAGTCCGCGATCAAAAAAGGTTGGGAAACGCTGCTATAGGCGAATTGAGTCGAAATTTGGAAATTTATTACACTTACCGACACTTGATTAAATACCAATAATGTGTTTGCCTAGCGGAAAATTAGTGAAAAGAATGAACTGTTTGGGACTGTGTTCTCTCCAGACATGCCCTGCCTATGGGATGTTTCGGCCATAATAACACTGGTCTTGAATGCACGAAATTAAAAAAGAAGCTCGAACTAAATGTATATTTTTCGTTGCTATGTTGGTTATTAAAATTCTTGGTATTCTTCTTCTTCCTTTCTTATTGTAAAAAATCGCCTTTCTCTTTAACTACTGCACCAATTCCTATAAAATTTTCAGTGGTCGAAGAAGATTGTTGTTGTCGCTAGAAGGCTATAATATTTTATTCAGTTAAAAATACTTCTGTGGGCTTTATGGGATTCGTTTTTAATGACGTCATCATAATTAAAAATTACGCTCTTTGTCGTGGTTCCACGTTCGCTACAATCCGGTGGTCAGTTGGGCCGGAAGTTGGGAACGGAAGTTGGGTCGAAGTTGGGAACTCTACGGTAGAGTACCTAGACTGCAAAAGATTACATACCTTTTGGCCATCGTGTATAACATAATGAAGGTAAAAAATGCTGCATGAACATTAGAACACAATCCAGGTTTTTGAATTAAATATGTGCAGCAACTGTTGGAGGGTACATCGTGCTTGAACTTTACCACAGCTCTTCTTCTTGCTGTAGGATTTATGCACATAGGCACGTACGTAAACATTTTCACCACATTGTTGTGATCTTATTGTAACCATCTGAAATATATTGGGAAATACATAAGTCACAAACCGGGTACAATGTAAGTTGTGAATTAACTTAAAGTGAATCTATTATCTATGCAGAGCAGCAAACGACTCGTTTATTCAAATAAAATATAGGTATGATATCATAAAATAAACTATGCAATGAACAGCATATATATATATGTGCAGAGGTGTTACATCAATATTTAAAAGAGTTAATAATAATAAATTCTTAATAATAATAACTTCACTTGCTACCAATGTACATATTGAAATGAAGAAACTAAAATATATGCATGTCTGAACTCCACTTGTCCTTTAGACCAGATATTTTCAAAATAGTGTGGCTTATTTCATCATTGGTACCTGACAGTGGCGTAGCAAGACTCTCGTGGGCCCCCTCGCAAAAATATTTCGTGGAAATGACCCTAAAAACTCTCGGACATAAGCTAAAACAACATTTTTTTTATTTCGTCCAAAAGCATAACATGTCGCAATTAAAAGACAATGATAACCTAAAATTTGCCGTTTATCTTGGTTACTTTAATTTTTTCATACGTGCTTCCTCTTCTGCCCTTTTTTTGCGTTTCTGACAGCCTTCGTAATTTTGCCGGTGCGATCAAGATCAAACCACGAGACGCCGAAAATCGCCTGGCATTGTTGCGTAACAAAACGATTTGAGCAGAACTAACATCAACGTTATAAGATGTGCACTACTGGTTTTGCATTGCAGCTTTTGGTTTTGCGGCTTAAATTTCTAAATTCTAACCGCTTGATGCTACGCCACTGGTGCCAGAGACTTTTTGCCCGATGGTATATTACACGGGTGGCCAGCCCGCTTTCGACCGCGATCGACTAAAATCTTCAAAATACCTCCCGATCCACAATAAGGTCATACACAAAAATGAATGAGTAGCCTACGGAATATGCAGACAACTGCACACACGCATACAAAAAATTCCACCGCGGCCAATAGGATCGACTCTGTGTGCGCATTCTTGATTAAATCGCCACAAAAAATCTTATTTTTTACGTTCCATTTAATTTGGTTATGTGATTGTACCGAAGAAAATGCCTATTTTTTTGCCATAAATGTTGATATTTCCTCCCAAAAAAACTTGCCAAATATCCATGTAATATCTTAGCAGCAAAAAATATATATTCTCAAACCATAAATGTTACATGATTCCTCTAATCTCAGTATATAATTTGCAATATCTCCAAATCCGATTCTTCGACCACTTGGAATTGTGCATTCTGATGCCACTGCTGCCGTTGGAAATAAAATTTATTACACTACTCTTGGAGTAAGATACTGCAAAAGTTATTGTGGGATCTTTTTTCAGTCAACACAACCGACACTCGAGAATCGGTTAGTTTTACCCTAAGACCTAGACCGTGACATTATGCCAAAGAGGCGCTGTCCCTAAAAGCTGTACGTCGATCGTGGCTTTCATGTCGTTTTGTCACGTTGGGGAGCTCAAGCAAAAGAAAATGCGTGAAACCCGGAAACAAATCTTGTCTCCATGTTGTTGGCAGAATGTCACAGTCCCAGACCTAGCTAGAGAGAATCTCGCGTTCACAATAAACGACAACCACAAACTACGAAAATGTAAATTTCTGCTATGGGGACAAAGTTCCCAGGTATGGGCTATTTTTAAAATTGTCCGGATGTGCCCCCTGACATGAATATTTACGAGACAAATAAACCAATCACATATATATATGTCATTGAATAAACATACATACATACCTCTGCTGAGTCTGCTCTATGGTTTGTTCACCTTTATATTATCCATGTGAGGTGGGTTTACTAAGTCCTATTGTATGCGACTCAGAAAACAAGTTAATTTAAGCTCATTCTTTACGTGGCTTGGATGAAGTGACGTCAATCTACTATAAAAATTGTATTTCTAAGAACAAGGGCAATCGACGACCATCATGGGCATTTATTAACCGAATTACAATCACGGAGAATAATTAAACGATTGGGGGAATCTGTCTTGGAATTTAATTAAATGACAACTGCCTAATCGCAATTGAATTTAAAAACTATTTTACAACAGCCGGGTCCACCTAGGTATTCAATAACATGTGGGATTTTAGGATTTACATATTTATCCATATATTTACATATTCATTTTAAGTCATTCATTCATTCGTAATCGTGTGAGTAAATTAATTTTTATGATTTTTGCTACTGGAACGGAATCGATAGTGGAAATTTTTAAACTTGGATTAAAGGAAATCTACTAGGCAGACAACATTTCACATCTATTCCCCAAATTTGTTACAAATACGCGTGCGCCATTTCCTACGAACTATCCAACTGTTGTCTCTCGCTCCACCCCATCCCTGGAAGAATTCTACTCATTAAATCAGGTAATGTAAAACGTGTGTCAAATTATATGACAATTTCTCTGGTTTCCCACGACTTCTTACGGTGATATGCCCAAGGACATATTTTATTTAATTCTACTAGCTACAGGGCAAAAAAATCTACGCCCGTTTCTCAGCGTGTCGAATCAGGCGTGTTGTTCTTGGTCGACAACTGTCAATTCCTGTGCTTTCATTTAGCGACTTACGAATGTTCGGTTGCAGGCTGTATAGCTCGTTTGGATCAGGTGTTATGGATTTATCAATCGTAGTTTCAGCGCTGAATAGGATTGCTCCAATAAGATTGGCGGCAGAATGGGACAACGTTGGCCTGCTTGTTGAACCCAGTTCACCTCATCTAGTGCAGCGTATAATTCTTACAAATGATCTAACCTTGAACGTTTTGCAAGAATCAATAGACCACAATGTCAACATGATTGTGTCATACCATCCACCGATTTTCAAGCCTATGAAAAAACTTACAGAAAATCATTGGAAAGAGAAAATTCTCATAAAGGCCATAGAAAATAGAATCGCGATCTATTCACCTCACACTGCGTCTGACGCAGTCCAGGGTGGTGTCAACGACTGGCTTGCAACAGGTCTAGGTGAATTAACAAGCACTCGACCAATTACTGCGAACAAATTTGTAAACTATGGTGGCTTGCTATTGTGCAAAAAGGCTGATGAACAATTGTTCATTGCACCTGTTGAAAATTCTAAAAAGCCTTCTCCTCCTACAAAGTTTTCAACAGAAAATGGAACTTTGATGCAACTTGAAAGTGAACAAGTTTGTCAGGTTGCTGACATTGTAAGGACTCGTGGCATTTCAGATAGAAATGTACAATTCTTTCCAGCATCACAATTACCGAATTCTGGTACTGCTACTGGGGCAGGTAGAATTTGTGTTCTGCGTAAGCCAAATACTATGAAGAATGTCATTGATAATATCAAGGCGCATCTTAACTTGGACCATGTAAGATTTGGGTTGGGTGCAGGAAAGAGTCTGAATGATTTAATATCAACTATTGCTATATGCGCTGGTTCTGGAGCTAGTGTCCTTACTGGTGTTAAAGCAGACTTGTATTTGACAGGAGAAATGTCCCACCATGAGGTCCTAGAGGTCACACAAAAGGGTGGAAGCGTTGTTCTATGTGAGCATAGCAACACTGAGAGGGGTTATTTACAAGTTCTCAGAACTAAGCTTCATGAAATTCTTGGTGAGGACAATCTAACCATTACTATTTCTCATCTTGACAAGGATCCCCTGGAAATATTGTAATTTCATTTTTGTAGACCAGTAGCCAATAGTATCATGTTTAATTTTACTAGCATTGAGGCGGTGGAAAGACTGTAGCTTAAATTATATAATTAAAAGTAAAACTGTTATAGACATGTAACTAACCAAAAAAAAATTGTGACAACTTCTCCCCATAGGAACACAGAACTTCTGAACTTGGAAAAGCTGACATCTAAAGCCCTTATCCCACACTGAATAAATCAAAATCTTCAAAAATGTATCAACAAGTTTTCAGTATTATTGGATCATCAGGATAGGATAGGATTTACATATTTATCCTGGGGGAGAGGAAAGCCGATAAGACGGCTTATCCATATGGCGAACCACGGCCTCTCATCCGGTTACCATTCCAAGTCGGGTATGTGATTAGTTTTACTGTATTGTTTGTTTTCGGAAGAATGGACTTGGTGGTGGAGGAAGTCGTAACCGACACCACCCAACGACGACGAAGAGTCCAGCAATCCTCTTGCACATAACCATCCCTGCATGGGATTCGAACCTGCGAACCCACGCAGAGTAATTAGAGGTGCGGTGGCGAGCGTATTCCTAACACTTAGCCTGTTGAGCCACACCGCCGTGCCAATTATTAATTCATGTCTTAGCATGTTGATGGTGGTGAAGGTTTGGAAAGAAAATATGGTTGTCATGACTTTCACTAATAGCACTCTCACTGTTTCGCTAAGAACCACTTATATGGGATATACTGGACAATTAACAGAATCATTTTCCATTCACCTCAACAGTGGCGTATTTACATAAAATGGGCCCATGGCAAAATCTAAAAATGCGCCCTCTTAAAGTTATTTGACAATTTTTAACGACTGTTGTTGAATTGAGATATTTGTACGTTATTATTTGAGTTTCAGGTATTCCCAATCTGAAATTATTTTGTTGAAACTTTTATGATTAATACTTTTCGCCATTTTTGCGCTATGGCACGAGCCATGGCTGCCACATCCTAGATATGCAACTGCACCTCAATCGTGGTTTTGCAAATTCCTAATAAAACAAGGCCATGATAGAATTTTTGCAGTGATTCATCATCCAAGGTCAAAACGGCAAGAGCCATACTATACAAGTTCAGTTTGATTCAAAAGAAGAGGTCAGTTGTTATAAATTAATTAACAGCCAGTATTCAAATGAATTAGAGCTCGTCAATTGCCAATTTATTTTCATTCCTCACGATTATAAACTGTAAATGTCATATGACCATTATCACTGTATTGCAACTGTATTCGTAAAAGATGCATAGCAATTAAATTGAACTGGAATAGTTATTTACAAATATTGTTAACTTTTTCGCTCTTTCTATTATTTCAGGTCTTCTAGGCATAGGTTTCGATACACCAAATATATTTAGAGTGAACTTATCTTCCACTAAATCAGAAAACTTTCCATGTTGGCCTCCATTGAAGTCGCACCATTCGTGGGTATTGGCATAATCTGGGATTTCATGAATATTGATTACATGAGGGAAGTATTTATAATACAGCTGAAGATCATATAGCATCCGCAATTTCTTTACGAGTTGACATGAAATTGAACCTGGAATAACAAGGATTACCATAGCATCTGATTGATTTATGAGGTCATCCAATGATTTTTGCAGGTTGTCTGCTGTCACTTCAGTGAACTTAATATTTGCATAATTTTTCTCCTCGCATAAAACATCCATTTCAGTTTCACATTTCAAAGGTAGCGCCATTAAATAATGTGGCAAAAGTGGAGTTTTATACAAAACAACCTCCATGTTATCAATATGTGTTGCAGTTTTTGCCAAGTAACCTAAAAATTCCATGCTGTGCACAGCACCACCATACTTGAATATAGCATAATACATAAAACCAGATAGATTGAATAAACAGTGAATTATGAAAAACACTTTGTCAGAGGCGACATATTGAGAAACTAAAACAGTGATTGGAACAATAACTATGCACATCTGAAACCCTACACGACTTGTGAAAAATATGCTTAGAAAGATTACTAATAAAAGAGTATAAGAGAGTATTGCATCCTTGCGCTTCATTAGAGTTGAGAAAGTTTGTCTACATAAAATCTGTTTTCTCACTTCTTTAAAAATATATATCACTACAGGCCCATACATAGTGAACAAAAGTGAAGTAATTTGTAAAGTATTATCAGGAATATGGCTGTTGCTTTCAGGCTTTATATTTGAAAATGATGGCTCATAAAAACAAAATCTCAAACCTAAAGCTACAAGTCCGGTGGTGTCAAAATTTTGAAACAATTCTGCTATGATGTCGATGTTAGAATAGGTATTCCACATCACCACAAATAATACTGACACAATTAAAAATGCAACACAAAACATTAAGCTTTTCAGTAAACACTTTTTTATCGATGAAAATGGAAATACCACCCAAAAACTCACTGGAATGAAAGCGAAATATGCGAGGCTTGAATTAATGCTTGTACCCAATACAATTAAAGTTGCCATTAACAATATGTTACTGATGGTGTCCAATTGTTTTTTCTTGATGTTGTTTGAGCTTTTTCCTATTAGGATTAATTCAGCAAAAATAATCATTTCGAACACGACATGCACGGTTCTAGTACAGTATATCCATGTTACATAAGAGCTTGCAAACAATGTCATTGACGTCAGTGCAGTTTTTTTATTACTTCCACAGTCAACTGCGATTTTGTACACAAGAATATCAATAATGATGCTGCAACATGCCATCCAAATTCTTGGCGAAACTAGAACTAAATATGATGTGATAACATTTCCAAAAATACCGACACTGTTTACGACGCGAAGAATTATGAATGGTATTCCAGATGTTATAGATGAATAGAATATTTCTTTATCTCCTTCATTATTTCCAGGTAAACCCAATATTCCTGTAAAATTTAAGATAAGCTGACGAACAGATAAGGTATTTGCATAATTATGTAGTTTGCTCTACATCAGTGGTTCTCAAACTTTTTAAATTGTGCCCTCTTTATAAAATTTGTCAAGTCTCGCGCCTCCCCTCAAAAATAACTAATTAACGATAAGATACAAATAACAGATAGTAAAGCGAAAGTATGTTTTATTAAAAAATACGGAACATAAAAATTACCAAAAGCAGGCAAGATCAAATCTAACATATTTTTTCATTTTTAGTAGCCGTAGACCCCCTCAAAAATAGTCTACACCCCGTCGTTCGAAACCACGGCCTTACATACTGACTTGTTGACAGGCTAAAACACATACCTGCCATTGACTTGGGTGAATCAAACTCTTCAATATTTACCAGTCCATATTGTGGTATGATTGCAAAAAATAGTCTTAATCCAAACAAATTTGACCACATTAGCTTTAGGTACAATTCATCCATTTCACCACTAATTACCTTGAGCGATGAAAAATTTGAAAAAAATATTTATACGAAAGAAAGCATGTTGGCCTGAATTTATAGTTATCTGAAAATATACATTTTTAGACCTCGCAATCTTTTTTAAAAAATTCAAGGGCAAACAGAAATGCTCAATATGTATGAATATTACAAGAAAATGGGGATAACATAGCCGTACTGTACATGTTTTCTTACAACACTGTTCCAGCTGAATCATGGCCACCCTTGGAACAGGAAACTGAACTACAGAACTAAGTATTCCTGAGCACACATCACCTTTTCATGAGCATTTTCATATTACAGTAGACTATTAGCTACGGTACGGTAGTGAATGTTGGAGGTATCTTAGAATTGCACGGCTGACGGCAACACGCCGCTTTGGAATATTTTGCAAGCCATTGAATTAATGTCGCAGTTTCCATGGTTCTTAAAAATATATAGGCTTACCTCCTATTAACTGCAAGTTCATGCAAGAAGCACAGCGGGGACCGTTTCACAGGCCATGTGCAAATATAGACGGCTACAGCGGGGCGCCAGTACATTGCATTTGGATTTTGCCGGCGCGGCGGGGAAGTACCCCAACTTTCGAAAGGTCAAAGATTGCGCTCGGTCTCTCGTCCAGTTACGGATACCAGCCCATGTCGGGTATGGGATTAGATACATAGACTTGATGCGGTTACGCGAACCACCCTACAAACAGTTTTGTATACTCCATCTTTATCCCTGTTATCACACCCACCCTTCTTGCACAACTATCTGTATGAAGGACCATATTTTACGCATTTGATTTATTGTAATTTATACTTATCGTAGAGGGTGCATGCCACACATTCGCGTGTGTTTAGGCCAGTATGGTCTTGTGCATACATCCCGTCTGCAGTATTGATATTTACCAACTTTTTTATATTGCTTTTACGAGACGAATAAACATACATACATACATACATGCATAATCAGAGGTGCGGTGGCGAGCGTATTCCTAACGCTTATCACGACGCGCGACATCGCCGAGCAAGCTGCTACGTGATATCCAGATGAAATTCTGTCAGATGGATAAAAAAAAGGTAGCGTTATAATGCCTATTAGTAGACTTAATATTTTTGTTAGGTTACTACTGACTTACTAATCATAAGGTGGTGAAAAACGAAACACGACTTGAATGATGTACCAAAAAACATGTACAGTTGTCAGTTGAAACAGGAATAAATTGCAATGAAATGAAAAATCATCTATCATAGTCAAGCCTACCGACCAACAACTACCAGATGTTGTAAGTATCTGCTGCTAAAAGCTTACAAGTTACAACTTGTTGAAAAAAATAAATGAAGTATGAAGAATACACTCGACTCTGAGTTCCATCATTTATGCACCTGCATACTTTTGCACACACGGACATTTACACCTATGCACAATTGTAGGCCTACTCATTCATTTGCACCCGCATATTTTAGCAACTGAATACAGATTGCACCCATGAACATTTGCATCCACGGACGTTTGCACCCACGTATATTTGCACGCAAAGAAATTTACAACGATGGACATTCGCGCCCTTGTATATTTGTACCCACGGAAATTTTCACCCTTGTACATTTGCAGTTTGCACCAGCGCACAGTTGCGCCCACGTTCTTATGAGGACTATGATCCGACACTATTTAAACTGAATTAAAAAAAACTCCGAAGTTAGTTTGTTAGTATATTAATGAAAATTCAGCCAATAGAAGGAAAGTAATCAGTACCATCAACACTTATCAAATCCCCAATTTAAAGATGGAAGATAATTTGTCTAATGAGGCAACTCAACTTTGTCTATTCGTCAACTAACTAGTGTACTAAAAATGGCGCTCCAGAAGTATGTGCACAACCAGTGATGAGCTGGAAAATAGTAACAACCGGAACGCGCCTAATTCGCAAAAATGTAATATATATACAACACGACGCAAACCTTCACAGAAAGTTTTGCCGTCCTAAGATAGAGTCAAAGAACTGCAATGAACGAAGAAATTATGTGAAATATATCTGTGTATAATTAGAAGAATATTCATAGCAATTTAATACTAATGTTATTATTAGAAAAGTATGGAATGAATTTCAATGGGGTCAAAGGTCGGGGAAACATATATTTACTGCTGAACTAACTATTTCTGTGATGTGATGTAAAAAGAATTACGGATTATGATGTAACAAAGCATAAATTAATAACCAGGGTTACCAGAAAAACTAGACTTTTTTACCATAATTTTATTTCTACAACATGAACGCAAATGCAGTAAAATGTCCAACAACCGGAACGCTGCGCCATTTTGGCGCACATACTTCGGGAGCACCCTAAAAAGAAATAAATCTTCGCGGAACTGCCGAAAGCCTGCGCCTGAACGGCACCTTTATGCGGACCAGCCGTTAGGAACCCACTGCTTAATGCAAAATGATCTTATAATCACAGCGATAAGTTTTTTGTTATTATTCGCCATTTCGATATTCAAACTGTTGAACGAAATCATGGGAATAGGCAGTGGCGGCGCGTCAATAGGGCCAACCGGGGCAATGCACCGATTATTTTTTCGGTATAATAAAAAACATTCGAAAAATACCTCAATATCGGTTGCACAGACTGTCTACACTAGCCATATTCTCCCGACATGGTTCATTTTTCGCTCGCAAAGCCTTCGCCGAACGTCGACGGGGCGACGCCGATTTTGCCCCGGTTGCTCACTCGCCGCGTTTGTCTCGTTTGTTTTCTGTTTCTTTTACTAAATCATCGGGGCCGATCGGAACTAGCTCCGAAATTATGACGACACAATGCCGACGTTTCTTACAACAACGTGTTGACATATTCACGCATTCCTTCTCGTTCGTTGGTTGCTTCAAGAGTTGATAGATTCCTCGCCTTCGTTTTTGTCGCTTGTTTCGCTATTTGAATCAGTTAGAGACCTTAAGTCCATTTGCTTTTGATTTTCCACATTCCTTTTGAGCTCCTCACTTCTTTCCGGCTTCGCATTTCTTAGCCTTAGACCTCATAATGAATAAGGTTGATGCACTACTTCGCACTCCGTTTTCGCAGCTGCCGCTGGAACAAAAATTAGAGGTACAACGTCTTGGGCCTTATCAACCAAAAAATTGTTCACTGGAACAATCCCATGACGGAGGAAAGCGTCGGCGTACATTCTGCGCAGAAACTTGGTATAAAAAACACAAATGGTTGTGTTACAGTGAGGACAAAAATGCACTTTTTTGTTTTTAATGCCTACTTTTTGCTACCGCCCGTGACTCACGTTGGTGTAAATTTGGTTTTAGAGATCTTAAACATCTTTCCGAGCGTGCCAGGGATCATCAATCTTCTATGGAGCATCTGGACAATGCAGTAAAATACCGAACATTCGGAAATGTTAATATTGCAGCACAGTTGGATGAAGGACGCGCGGTTTCTATTCGTCGGCACAACCAAAACGTCGAGAAAAACCGCCATGTTCTCGGTCGATTGATAGATGTTTTGAAGTTCATTGGTTGTCACGAGCTGTCCCTCCGTGGGCACGATGAACGGGCTGGCTCTTCTAATAGAGGGGTATTTTTGGATATGGTGGAATACACCGCATCCCTAGATACAGTATTGAGAGATCATCTTGATGCCGCAACTGTTTCGAAAGGGACATCTAAGGATATCCAAAATGATTTGCTCGACTCAATGTATAAAATTTATTTACAACATTTGGCTCTGGAAATTGAGAATTGCCAGTTCCTTTCGATTCAGTCTGACGAGACAACTGACATCACGTGCGTTTCCCAACTGGCTGTGATTTTTCGGTTTGTGAAAGATGGTAAACCTACCGAGAGATTTCACAGCTTTGTACCAATCGTTGATCGCACGGCTTGCGGGATATCGGCTGTACTGAAAGAAGTGTTACAGCCTTACAACGCGAAGTCAAAATTGATAGCTCAAACTTATGACGGCGCGGCAGTCATGAGTGGGTCGAAACATGGTGTTCAAGTTTATATAAAAGAAGATTTTCCTCATGCGCATTTTTTACATTGTTATGCACACCAATTTAACCTCGTTATTAAAAACATGTGTCTTGATACCCCTCTCGTCCGTATATTTTTTGCAAATGTTTCGGGGTTTTCTTCATTTTTTTCCGTTTCGCCGAAGCGCTCTGACCTCCTTCGCCAGATATGTAGCCGCCGTCTCCCAGCTTGTGCACCAACACGTTGGAACTTCCAATCACGCGTGGTGCAGGGCGTGTCCGAAATTAGATTTGAGCTCATTGAGTGTTTCAATGGCATTCAGCGCTCTCCGGTTTGGGACGAACGCTCTGTGAGGGAGGCGGCAGGTCTAAAGCGTCTGCTAGAAGATGGTGAGTTTTCATTTTTTCTCGCTTTTTTCTCCACAATATTCTATCACGTGGATGTATTATACGGCGCATTGCAGTCAAGGCTAATGGATGGAGCGTCTGTGCAGTCGTGTATTTCAGACTTCTGCGATGCTGTATCTCGTATCCGGGAAACAATAAAATACGACGAACATGGAGTGCTTCTTTATGCCGCGGGCAAACAACGCAGCGTTTGATTTTGTCTGCAAAGGAATGCTGTGACGTTCTGGTGAATCAAATAGGCGATCGTCTGCGCACTGAACACCTTGCCGCGTTCTCTTTGATGAACCCCAAAAATTTTTCAAAATTTGCACGTCAATTTCTCATTCATTTGTTGGCTACTGTCTCCAAATTTTACCCCATGATAAACGTGAGTAAATTGGAAAATGAATTGCGATGTATATACACCAATCAAACTTTTTTGAACATCACATCAACTTGCGCTCTCTATGGGTTCCTCATAGATAACACTCTAGTAACTACCTTTGCGGCGTCTGCAAAATTTCTGGACATCATTTTGACGACGCCTATTTCTTCCGCCGACGCAGAGCGAACATTCAGCACGCTGAAGCGTATTAAAACGTATCTCAGAAACACAATGAAGCAAGATAGATTAAATTCCTTGACTGTTTTATCCATTCTCAGAGACGTTATTTCTGGGATGCATGACTTTAATCAGCGCGTTACTGAGCATTTTGCTTCCAAGAAACCGCGGCGTGTTGCATATATGTTCAAGCAGTAGAAGTATAGCAGCATATATATATCTATGAGTGAGCGACGCATGTCCTTATCTTTGCATTACCTTTCCTTTCTTCATAGTAACGTTTTAAATCTTATTTTAGGTTTTAAAGACACTTTCTTATCGTTAAAAATTGTCGCTTTTGCCGATCGGTTGTTACCGATGGAATGGTTTTCATACTCATAAAATGATGGGAGAACTTACAGCGCTCATCCTGTCCCCGTAGATGGGGGTGACTTGGTCCCGCAGTAGCTTGCCCCGGTTGTCAAAATAACCATGCGCCGCCACTGGAAATAGGTATGGTAAATCTAGCTTAATATTTAAATTTATAACACATTTCCAGTGTATTGATAACAAACACAAAGGATGCATCAAATAATTGTAACAATCGTCCAGACGGACCAAAATTGCTGATAACAACGGAATGTCGTAATGCCAATGATTCCTATTTGTGATTTGTTTACGAAAATATCACTGCGTTTGTACTTGCTTTAATATGTAAATAAATAAATATAATGTATGTAAATCCTATCCGAAAGATATTTTTTAATGAGAGAAGAAGATGAGTCTTTCTAAAAAGATCCATGGAACATTTTAAGACTGTAATTGGAACTGAAAAATATAATTTGGCATTGGTTTTTCGTTTACGCATTTATCGAAATACTAAACTTTAAATTTGTGTTCTACTTTACTTAAGCATAGACACACTCACTAAAAGATTTATATTCAAATGAATCGAAATTAACGTAACTGCTGTCCAAAAATATTTACACTTCTGGGCCATGATCCGCTTTTGTGCGTAAAGACGTAGAGTTACGAATAGCTACTAATGTGCGGGGAAATTATGGGGAATTTTGTTCTTACCGTATTACGAGTTATGTGCTTTCTGTATTATGCTCTTCCCGTTTTAGGGACTAGCAAGCATCTTGAGCTCATGAAGCTGTAACAATTGTATTACCGAACGAAAACAGGACGTCGCCACAAGATTTTGAACACGGAAAACTCTCGGTATCTCAAAAATGTAACATCCTACTAATTTTAGCGTAGTTCTCCCATTGTTCTGAGTTAGGATAGAAACATATTGCGAACCAAATGACTAAAATTAATATAAATAGTGGAATTCGTGCTGATTTCTTAGTTATGGGATAAATATAATATTTTGACAAAAGATCATTTATGTGAAAGGAGATTCATACAATGAGACAAGGCTTAGATAAGTGGAGCAAGACAGTTTTGAAACATCCAATTTTCGATACTTAACCTGGTGCACAGCCTGAGTTCAGGTTGTGCGCCATCTTGGCGCATACTCCAGGAGGTCCAAATTTTCGTTATATTGCTCTAAATTGTCGTATAACCAAAAAAAGGGACTGTAGAACTGTACTGACTATAAGTGAGGTTTTCTCGTGGCAATGTTAAACTTGAAAATAAAGTTTGTTAATCAAGTATTTCAGATACTATATATATTAAAAGAACGGATGTACGATCATTGTACAAAACATTATTTTAATATTGGACTGAGTCTTAAAAATAATATTGATAAGAAAAATAAAAATACATATGACCAGCAAGCAAGCACAAGGAAAATTAATATCAAGATGAAAATTTTGAAAAATCAGCAATGCTCAAAGCAGTCAAGGAAAAGAAACAGACATCAGTTAGTTGCAGAGGTGAAAAGTAGTAGAGAGCTTCTTGTAAGGAAAATGAAAACAAGGAATGGAAATAGAAAAAAATCGACCACGTCGGTCCAAAGGAAAAATAAAGACGGAGATCAAATATTTAGAGAAACAAGTCAAAGAAATAAACCAGTATTGGCTATCGAGCAGCGACACCTATGAAAAGTCTAACATTAGGTCATATAAAAGTAAAAAGTCAACGTGAAAAATCTAACATTAAATTATAAAGAACAGGATCGGAACGCCGAAATACTAACATGGTCTGTGGCATAAATATGTTTGAAAAAGCCGGATATTCCCGAACTCACTAGTAGCAAACGCCGACTATCAGATTACCATGACAACTAAAGCACAGATACAGTAATATAACTGGGGCCGGATAACGCAAGCTGAGCTGAGTTGCAAAGCTTGAGGCCGGTACCGGCACTGTGCTGATGCATGGTTCCTGAAGGCTAGGGACGAATTTATACATGAAGAGAGAGAAAAAATGAATAAAATGTATCCAGATTAAAAGGTCACGAAACCAGGTAATTACAGTAAGTTGCAATACTACAAATAGCCAATTCATGCAGAACATGCAGGCGCAAAGTCACTAATTTACAGCGATTTAAAGTCACACGATACTGTGTAATGTAAATAAGGTAAAATCTATTTTTGTAAATATGTAGATGACGCCAAAAAGTACAAAGACAAGTGACTCAAGACAGTTGTTTATAACTTCATCTTTCAACTGATCGCTGATTCAACGTTCCACTTGCATTATTTTCGACTTTCATTTATCGGACTTGAAACACATTCAAAGGTGAGATTACCCGAGTGCAATCACTGATACAACTTCCGATAGTTCAAAAGTCAATATATATACCTGTCAGGCCAATCAACCCAGCTAAAACACTGATTCAACGAGTACGTAATTACAAAACGTCACCGGAATGAAGGATATCAAATTTAAATATTATGTATATATATATATTTATGCTACATTAGAGCGAAATATGTGCATATAAAAAAATCAAAACACACAAATATTCAAATGCACGTGGGTTGGCGTCCCAGTAGTTATGGCTAAAAACATTTCTTGGCGTTTCGGCATTCCCTGTTGCTGCTGTCAGTCTGTCACCTGTAAACAAGAGATATGAATATCGATCTTTGAATTTTTGTAGACTTTTATAAAATATTGTATCCCACGTGTGTTGCGAAATGAGTTTCTTTTTTTTTAATAAGTTTTAACATGATAGAAAATTAGAACCTCCCGACTTCGTGAATGAATTTCCATGCTTCTAATTTGTATTCCTCAATTAAACTACGTTGTGTACAAGTATATTAGGTATTAAACTGCAGGTCCTTTCTCCTTGTCCACTTCGTATGTACATAGCCAAAATGATATAGATTAAATCCTTCCGCATCCTCATAACTCAACAATTATTAAAATCTTAACTTTGCAAATATATTATATTATATTTTGCCTCTCGAACTTAGACTATGACCCACCGAAAGCTCACAAATACACTTTCTATTATGTTATTATTATTTGACTGCATTATTTCTAGATAACACAAATGTCGTCATATTTAGATTGAAATTGAGTTGAATTTGATATTTGAATATAGCGAAATGGACTATGATACTTACCAATATTGGTCTGATGATGTTTTAGGATGTTTCCTGAATTTGATCGTTCAAGCTAAAAAAAAATAAGCGATTCTAATCGTGTCAAAAATGAAATGTGCGAGTCATTGCTTTAAAAAATATTTTTTTAAATCTGTTCCGAAAAGGTGCTTAATAGCAATAATAAAATCATAATAAAATTTGGTCAAAAAGTTGTCAAAACACTTACCTCCAAAATAGGATAAGACATATTTCACACAAACTTGACATAGCAATATTGATCCGAAATTTAAACTCAAAGTGGAGAAAAAGTATAAAAACCTAGTATAAATAAATACCAGACCTTCATTTTAGATATTCCGAGCTCTTCATCCATATGCCGAAGTCTTTCTTCTAGTTCCTAAAAGGATGAGGTCATTGTTTTTTTCACTTTCACGGGGCTGTAGAGCCTGAGAAAATTGAAATCGACTCCGCCGGACGATTTCCGGACTCAAATCATATTCAAGACCGACTCCGGGTCGTAAAAATTTTGACTCCCACCCCAGCTAAGAAATCCAAAATATTCGAATTTTTGTAACAAAACTACGACTCTGGGGAATTTAGAAAATACGACTCCTGCTCCGACTCCAGTGAAAACATGCCCCTTTCTTTATCAGCTTATAAAAACTTTTCGAATATTTTTTTTAATGTTTCTGATATTATCCGCCTCCTGATTGTCTTCATTACTTTTCTATTCTATTCTTTGAATTTTCCAAATCCACTTAAAGACGAGAAGTACCTTAAAAGTACGTTTCAAAATTTTAATTCATTTTAATAAATGAAGAAAACAAATACTCACAGACGTGGCCGAACGTCGTTTTCTTCAGAAAAGAACTTGAAACAAGAAATGAAACGGATTAAGAATTATCATAATTGATCCTTTCTCTCGCTAAAATTATACTTATCAATCATTGTGGAATATTAAAGAAATATATATATCAAATTTTAGTTCATAATACATTTGATAAATATACTTACTTTTAATTCACGTTTGAAGCAGATCTCACATTTGTAGGACTGCTGGGAATCGTCGATTTGTTAACCTCACAGTTAACAAAACATGGTGTCTAAAAATGAAGACACTACTACAATATTAGAACAAAGTAAATAAGTAGTGCAGTGCATAGTAAAAATCAGCCAAAATTACGACATTAGCCGTATAAAAATGATGAATGATTAGAGTATGTAATGTGTTAGGATAAATATGTTCAGCGTCATTTCATGTCGTTTCTAAAAGTCGATCGGATTTTAATCAGTTTTTGGTATAAACAATTGGTTTATTTTGGACTGGTTTAAGCTAGTGGATCAATTTGTTGCATCGGATTACAATTCTGAAAATATCAAGTATAATAAAATATTGACAGCTACTGTACATACTACTAATGCTGACACAAAAATTGCTATGAAGCTTTTTTGTTTGTTTTTATAAACTAATATACTTACTGTTGTTGATAATAAATGAAGCACAGCCGGTGTTAGCAAAACGATGTAATTTGCCGACGTTTCGAATTTCTATACAGAAAAACTCCATCAGGGCATGATATGGAAAGGACACAAGTGGATATATATAGAGCAAGAAAAAGAAAAAAATGAAAAAATTGTCATGGCGTCAACTCTAATCTAAAGGATGATGATAAGATAATATGTATAAATAAACAAACTAGCGCAAGTTCAAACAAAAAGGGGACTATTTAAACAATGATTTATACACAGGCGGGAAAAGTGTGGTTTCTTTCTCATTCATCGAATTCTTCTTTTTGGACACGTTTAGTGGTCATAACGATCGTTTCAATATTATGTTGTTGTTGTTTTGTTCTTGTTCTTTTTCTTTGACACGTTTTTAAAAAATCGCTTTTCTCTTCGAATACTGGACCAATTGCTTTGAAATTTTCAGTGGTTAAAGATTAATTTCTTCGCTAGAAGGCTATTACTTTTATTTATTTCAAAATTTTGCGTGAATTCTATGAAATTTGATATTTCGTCTAAAATTTTGCTGTATTATTTTTTATCCATGGGAACACGGATTTTAGTCAGTGTCATGACTGGCTGTAAGTTTTGATTCTGCAAAATTCTTGCTACTGGAAATTCAGAACTTTTTTGAGGGTACCGGTAGCGTCAAAGGTACCGGTAAATACTGATTCGCTCTGGTCTAACGTGTCCATATATTTGTGCGTAGCTCTAATGTTTATTTATGTGATAAGATTTGAGAAATAGTCTTCTCTAGTATTGAGTTTCTTTTTCTAGTATCCTGCTGTTTTTCCAGTCGATGCTATGGTTATTAGAAAGGGCGTGTTTCGAAAGGGCCGACTTGTCAATTTTCTTTTGTTTAATATCTCGTAGATGTTCCTTGCTTCGAGTTTCCAGGCTTCTTTTGGTTTCTCCAATGTAGACTGAAGAACAATCGCAGCAAGGTGTCGCAACTGGTGATTTTCAAATCGCAGCAGCATGTTGTACCGGTCAAGAGAGGGTTGATTTTATTATTTTAAATTAAAGATATAGTCATATAGATTGTAAAAAAGTCAAATGAATTTCATCAAAAACTTAAAATTATGTGAATTTTTCGATTGTATTTTGATAATCTTACACAAAATTGACGTAACTCTTGTATGGCGATTTCGGTGATTTTCGAAGCCCAGCAGCATGTCGCCACGCTAATAACCGAATTGCGTAAGTAATTTTTGGCGATTTTAAGTTTTTTATGTCTGTCTGAATTTTATTTTAAAAATTCCGAAACCCATAAAAATGGAGATTTAGTATGACATTCACATTTTTTTCGTCATAAAGAAATTATCATTGTTACCGCAGGGCTATTGTGACGTCACAGAGGCACAATAACCCCGGCGAAGTATATTCAAGTTTTTGTATCTCGGATTCCAGATTAGCGCGTATTAATTTAAATTTATACTACAGTATAGGAAGGCGTGCACTTGTGATATTCACTGTCCGAGTCCAATTCACCTTGGTTGGCTTTTATATTGAGTGCATTGCTGTTTTATTCTTTATATTTAATCTTAGTCTTATTCCGGTGGGTGTGCAGAACATGTTATATTATTGAAATATATATTTATAAACATAAAAAACAATGTAATTGAAACTGATTAGGTATTTGGGATTAGACATTGTAGATACTGAAAATTACATTCGTTTTTGTAATGTTTATTTTTCAGGACTGGTGCATATAGTAAGGTTGCAAAATTGCGTATATCCCCAAGTCATAGACACATTTCTGCCTAAGTCACAGTGCGCCATACAAATTAACTTGAATCCGGCTACGATCAAAAAATTGAACCATGGCAAATTATTGACTCTCAATGGCATAACAATATCATTAGGAAGTTTTTTACGTTTTTCTCAAAACTGTTAAAAATGACTTACGCAATTCGATTATTAGCGTGACGATGTTGTTCCGGAAAAATCTTATACATTTTTTAAACTTACAATACTTTTTATAACTTACAATTTTAATGATTGTATCTTTCATTTGAATTATTAGAACCGTCCCTGCGCCGTTTCTTTACTATATATTAACAAGAAAAATCATTGGAAACATTTAATTTTACGCGTGGATAGTTTCTGCGATTCTGTCAGTCTTAATTTCGTGTTTTGCTGCTAGCTTCACAGACGTTTTGGTTCATCAGTATTTGGTGGAAGAGCATGTTTTTTTTTGTATCGTAGATTTAGTGTTAACTTGTAGGGAAATTGGGATTGTATTTCATGCAGAGATGTGTTAGGATAAGAATTAAGGTATTAGGTTAATACTTATTTATACTGTTTTATCGTGCATTCAGTTACATCTGTGTATCCCAGACTGGATTCCATGGCAGGTGCACGCCCGAGGGCGCTAGCGCTCCGCAAAAATGCACGCGAGCGAAATCAATTTTGCACGCCGAAAATTTGCAATTGCTCACCAATGTAAATCGGTTTAAATGGTTTTAAAATCAATAATCCAGTAATATGAAGATGCCAAAATATTATAACTCCACAATTGTCGACAAATACCAGCCTGCAAGAAATGGTCTGATCGAAATATTGCGAAGCAAAAAGACCATGGACCTTTCCCCAACCTTTGACCCGCGAAAAATTCCTCTCATTGTTACGTCCTTTTTTGCATCTTGCTGATTGGCCAATGTCACGAAGTAAACAAGGAAGACGATGCTCGGGGAAAGATCCATATCGTGTTGAATGATAGAAAATAGGAATCCCGTGAGAATAGTTATGGACGAAAAGATCGCCTCCGCACCAATGGCCAAGTACGGCTCTGATTCAGCGTATTTTTCATACAATAATTTTACACGAATGTACTGAACAGTACCGGTATCTAAAGTTGCTCAAACACTCCCAAAATTAGTGACAAATTATGAAAATAATGTTTGGGGTCAAAGGTCAAACGTCCATTTTGCTTTAATTTGACGTATTTTTTATCCATTAATTCTACGTAAAAACACTACCAAAATTAATGACAAAGTATGTCCATTTTGCTCTGGTTCAACGTATTTTTTATCCAATAATTTTACGCGGATGTACTGAACAGTACCGGTATCCAAAGTCGCACAAACACTCTCAAAATTAGCGACAAACTGTAGAAATAATGTTTGGGTTCAAAGGTCAAACGTCCATTTTTTTCTCTGATTCAACGTATTTTTTATCCGATACCGGTAATTTTACGCGGATGTATTGAGAGGTATCTGATGTCAAAGTCAGTTGCACGCGAGTGCAGTTGTTTTGCACGTCGTGAGCTATAATTGCACGCCAGGAATTCTTATTTGCACGCGGGAATTTCTGATTGCACGCCCGATTTCTCGTTCAAAAAGGCCATGAAATCCAGACTGGTGTGTATCTGATCAATTGAGGATTGGAAGCATTGTAGTCCAAACTATTTTAAATCAGTTAACCTCATACCAGTGGCCACAAAAGTGCTGCTTATACAGTTGAGTGGACGAAATAAAGCAAGTGCGTTTCGAAACGGTGTCTGGTTTTGTGCATGAGAAATTCAGCGGTTGTCCGGTTCATCGCACCCAAGCTCGGAAAGGTTTTAGTGACTCATCATAAGAATTCTTGTCACCACAAATACTTGCTGATTGAAGTCAGGGAGTGTGTGCATAGATCTGCTTGCCATTCCAACCAATGAGTATTTACACTTTTGTCCATATTTATGACATTATTGCTTTCATGCTCACAAATATACGTATCGTTATATATTTTTAGTTTCACAAATGGGAACAAAGGACATTTCCGTGTTTATATAACAGTACTGACGTCTAACGTCACAACGGTCTTACCGAAATAATTCCCCCGAATTTTTGTTAAATTAAACTCGTACGTATGAGATCAGGCATGTGACTGTTGAAGCGATTGATAACTTATTTTTCTAATTACATTAAAGTACTTTCACGGCAGAATAAAGTTGAGAGATTGAAAATAACTATTGTCTTTATATGGTTTTGTGAATATATCAGCAAATTTTGAGGTATTTCAAAAAACTCGTTATTGTGCAACAGTAACATGGGGATTTATTAATTTTTAGGTACAATACTCACAGATAGTTTTTAGACATGTTTTAGACTTTTAGACAATGTGCAAAGTTGGGAACAAAACTGTAAGAACAAAAAAAGGACTATGCCATTTGTAGACAAATAATCTTGTAGACAAATAATTTATGTTACAATGCTTTGGACAGGCAGCAGACTTGATAGTAATCAATACGCATGGAATTTTTCTTATGATAAGTTTCGATTAGAATAATACTTTGTTTGCATATATCCCAGAGTACCTATTATAAAGCTAAAGATTTGGGTATCTAAATCGAATCAGGAACATCACGATGAGTGACGTTAATGCCAATTTGCCGCAGGTAAGTTCAAGTTTAAACAAGTTTTAAAGAGTATTCACATAAAATTGTTGAAAATCTAATTGTTGTTTCGTTGAATTATTGAACACAGAAAGTAATGTGATGGTTAATATAAAATGAAAGTATTAATCAAGGTTCACTTGATCTATTTATAAATCTTTTTTCAAGTCAAATTTTGAAAAAGTACATAAAACATTCACTTGGGAAAATATCTTAAGTACGATACATTACGAATGTTCATCTAAGACAATATTTTTATTATAGACGTTTAGTCAAAAAGCGGCTGAATGCGTATCTCGTTACGTCGGGCATTCAATCGGGGGAGTTGTATTTTTTCTAGCATATGCAATGGCAAACACTGGGATCGTGACATTCAGGCAAGTATATGAAGTATGGTAGCAATTTAGTGTGTCTTAATTTGAATCACACGAGTAACTTCGAGGTCCACTCGTCACCCATACGTGTTTCTTACATGCTTACCTATAGGTCGTATCCATCTAGTACAGTGTTTCCCAACCTTTTTAGGACGCGGACTACTTTCTCACCGGCAAAAACCTTTGCGGAATCAACGTGCGTTGATTGCAACCGTACTCCGTGTGAAGAAGTAATATAACCGAACACAACAAGATTTTAAAGGTATTTCAAAATCGGGAATTCGCCGCAATCACGCGTTTGTTAAAAGAGCTGCATAAATGGCCTTTTCTGTAGCATAATATTCAATCCATGACAACGACGAGAATTCAAAAATGTCTTTATATTTTAATTAATTCAATTGTGTTCATGATCATTCGCGGTTGCGTCGATTGACAAGACAGCGTATACTACGGTAGTCGTAGCACCCGAAATTTTGCGATTTGCAATGTCTAAAAAAGCGTTTTTAATCGGTCGCGAACCACCATAAAACAAAACTTATGGTGTTCTCAGTTTTATTCTCAGTATTTTGTATGGCCGCTCTCCAATTTAGAAAATTTAGGTTGCCACCAAAGCCCCACCATTGACACCTACCAGAAAAAAAAATTCTTCTTCTTTGTTCGAGCTTGCGAGAAACACCATTCAGGTATCTTTATTCACTCGTGTTTTCGTCGGAAATCCGCAAGTGAGTTGTGAAATCCAATAGTTTGATTAGGCGTTACCAAATTTTACCTGTTACCAAATTTTCGAACAGTAAATTGCTATTCTAATAGTTGAAAATTCGAATATATGCCCAGCCCTACTCAGTATCCAGTAATTATTCAATAGATTAATGTTATGTGAATAAACTTGCTTTTTATGTTTTATGTAAATATCAACGTACGTCGTAATTTGGCGGAAGGTTAAGTTTCGCAAAAACGTTTGCGGCCCGCAGTGAATTTCTGGCTCGTTGCGAACTCATTCGACCGCTCCGCGGACTCATTTGTGAACCACTGATCTAGTAGAACACGAACATTATTATAAATGCAATCAAAGAACAATTTTGCCGAACTCGAAACTTCAATAGTCTGTTGGTCGTCACAAGGTTTACGTGCTTAGTTGTGATCTGATGCATAACCGATGACGTCAATTGTGGCAAACCCTTCTAAATTTATTTTATGGATTTATCATCATTATGGTCGGTCATGTATAACCAACTGTTGGCTCAGAGGTAGTAAAAAAATAAAGTATTTACATCGAGCCAGCGTGTATAGATGACAAACTTAGATTGATCGGCCATAATGAGCTTAAAATGACACAAATATTATTTATATATATATTATATAAATTATGTTAGTATAGGATAGGATTTACATATTTATCCCGGGGAAGAGGAAAGCCGATAAGACGGCTTATCCATATGGCGAACCACGGCCTCTCGTCCGGTTACCATTCCAAGTCGGGTATGGGATTAGTTATACTGTATTGTTTTGTTTTCGGAAGCATGGACTTGGTGGTGGAGGAAGCCGTAACCGACCAGCGGTTACGTGAACCACCCAACGACGGCGAGGAGTCCAGCAATCCTCTCGCACATAACCATCGAACCACCATTCGAACCTGCGAACCCACGCAGAGTAATTAGAGGTGCGGTGGCGAGCGTATTCCTAACGCTTAGCCCGTTGAGCCACACCGCTGCGTTACTAAAGCTATATATGATAAAATAACTTTTAGAGTAAAATGAATTTATAACTGGATTGTGAAAATACATCAGCAGGCTTTATTAAAGATTACTAACTTATTTCAGATCGAGATAATTTTCTGATTACACGACAAAATCTTTATTTATGTCATTAATTCATCAACTAACACCTTGACACCATAAATAATGTATACATCAGGTTGGTTGTTATTTTTAACCAAATTCATTAACAAGAACCCAATTAGGACCCTTTAAATTAAAAAGTATAAATATCATAAATGACAATTCAGTCAAGATATTTTAACAGTCATTTGCAATTATATTCTGGAGAATGGTGAGGTATAACCGCTATTTCAGTTCAATTGAAATGATTTCTCACTGTCGCTGATTGGATGACTCATTGAGTCTTTCGCGACTCCGCGTCAATTGCTATGAATCAATGTTTCTCGTTTTTTTAGTTTACTGTGTTCTTCTTTTGCTTTCTATTGATTCTTGCATGACGAAATAAAATATCTGAATCTGAATTACTGAATATAAGAGTGATCAGCAGCCTTGTCCATGGGCCACATTTTTTTGTCTCATCCCATCCCATGGAATTCTTATTGGAAATAATTTTCAATAAAAAATGCTAAATTTATTTTTGGCGTCTACTAAGTGGAACTACGTGTATAAAGAGACATGCAAAACGACAAATTTATTGACTTCGTTAACTTTAACAATTCAGAACTATATATCACTAACAAATGAGCTACGGTATGTCCAAACGCATCGACACGATTATACGAAGTCCATAGCGAAATGTTTTGCCGTCAATTCCCCGAAAATCATACGGTAATTTTGGATGAAATATCAGATTTCATAGCATTCATAGAAAATTTAGAAAAAAAAGTAATCGTTTTAGAGGAAAGCCATTTTTATCATAACGATGAAAAGAAAAATCTTTGTCCCATGTGTGTTGTCCCAGTGCTATCCCATTCCATCCCGTAGGCCGTTTCTCATGGACAAGCGTGATGATTAGTGATACAGGAGCTGGATAAAAACCTATTTTTGTAAACGCTTAAATAATACAAGATGAACCTGAAGAGTATAAATTTGTGTGAATTATTGCTGTCATATTAATTTGCATTTCGAATCATATGAATCAAAATATTATTGGCTTTATTACTATTCGAAAGGAACAATTAGTGACTTTCTAACCTTTAAACGTATATACCTCATTCAATGAAAGACAAACATACTGCTATATCAGGCGGACAACGCGTGATTAGATAACCACACTAATGTGTCTGTTTTTGATAAATGAGAAATTACTGTATCGTATACAATGCATTTCGCAATCATCGCCATATGGTTGCAATCTATGAAAGTTTACTTGAATGAAAAATACTATGAATAAAATTACCGAATACTAATAATTTACAAAACGACTATTCAAATAATAATTATGTACCAAACAAATGAGTCTCGAATAGTTAGTCCGATATTGTATATAATTCTGACTGTAATTCTGAAGATTTCAAAATGTTTATTGACAGTGCTTTTTGGTCAGTGGGATTTTAAAATCATTGAAAAATAGTTATTTTTGCAGGCCTATAGTTGATTAGCGTAAAATAGTGTGTATATACAAAGATATTACAGTCTCAAGTCTTGACGAAATTATACAAAAACCACTTCAAATATTCATTAAACATATATCATTATTTAAGCGTTGTCTTGGCGATGGAAGCATATTTCACTGGATGTTCGCTTCTTCACATACAAGAGATGGTGCAAGAACAGAATCGAGGAGAAGAACGTATAAATTACTTTGTAAGCTTTTAATTTATGTTTTCTAGCTGCCATTTTTTAAATTGTGTCAATCTCTTAATATTTTACCCTCGTCGACCAAGTTCAAAAATGCTCTATTATTAGATCATTGGCAAGAAAGATGAAATAATGCAAAGAGCATTCAATTCTAAATCGTTGTCAAAGATATTGAACTTTTTAAATTACCTCCATTTCATCTACACCTGCTTTCTCATCATTTGAAGAAAATTGGGTCTAAAATAGTTTCATAATAGGTTTCAAGCACTGGGATGCTCCATTTAATCTTGCCTTGAAATCCAACTCACAAATATAGGCGTCACGGCGATGGTTCTACATTGCCTCCAAGTCCTTGGTATATGAATGGGAAACTGGCCAACGTCGAATTGATCGCCTGGTTAATACTAGCACTATGTAATAAAATAATAGCAGTTTTTCCTGAGCCCGACAACGGTAAAAATTTTTTTTTGAACCATACTTGGCAGTAACACGTCGAATTTGAAAAAAAGCAGTTTGTACATTTATCTGGTTACATTTTTTCGTACTCCCGAAGTATGTGAACCCAGATAGCGGACACCGGAACGTAGTATGTGTACCGCGTTAGGGTTAGGTCATAATTTCGGGTACAAATACTACGGGAGTCGTCACTTGGCTAGTCCCCGAACTCGTAATAGAACCAAGATAAGAAAAATTAGAATAAAATTGTGGCCTATCTCTAACCTGGTACACATACTACGTTCCGGTGTCCGCCATCTTGGTTCCCATACTTTGGGAGTACCCATATTTTTTACATACCTGTAAACGTATAATATTTACTTTCTATATTCCAACATTTCAGCTTGCCATTGAAAAGCATTTGTGCAAGAAAACACGTCAATTTATCAGATTCTTGTTTCTCATTGACGTGATCAACTGTGAGTACCATTACATAATTTTACCAGTTCAAATACGAACTACAAAGTTGAATCAACTGTTCCATGAAACTTTATGGGTTTATGTCTCTAATTAACAATGGATTTCGGGTCAACTCGCCGTAGACTATTGAAGATAGATTTTGATCTTTTTCTGCTAAGGAGTTTACAACGTCTATTTATTATTATAATATATGAAAAAGAGGCTGTTTCCATTTCCCAAGCATCTATGAAATATAGAATATGTGACGGGTGCAGTGAAGACAAGAAAAGTCTGTTTAGATTGTTAATTGCTCATAATTCAGCAGTAATAGTTAACCAATCTATCTTATATAAGTTGTTCACCTCAAGCAAGCTTACTAGAAAAGTGGATTGCAGTTAATATAGCACCATCGGTGTAATAAAGATATTAGTGCTGATTTTTTTTATATTCATTCAATCTATTTTTCACGTAGGCACCGCTTTCTACTACAAGATTTGTCAATCATTATTTGAGTCTCTTGTGTTTGAAAACCATGTTGAAGTTAAATACAGGTGATATTTTCTGACACTATTCTGTTTTTCAATAGAGAGCAGGCAATTATATTCAACTTAATATAGTATTCCTTATCGCTAACACGAATTATTTTGGGGTGAATCTTACGTAATCAAGAGAATTAAAACATTTATTTCTATATCTCAACTTTGAGTGTCCGGGGTATAATTTGGTCTATCATTGTACTCGCATTCCTGGCTCACAATAATTATTTTTATGTAGCAAGATATTGACTTTAATGTAACTTTGTTGCATCATCAATCGTCTGTGTGTTGACTTTTTGTTATCACGACTAAAGAAACCCTAATCACTCATGCTCACGAATTGCTCACGCTTTTATTAATATGACAAATTTATAGACTATTGAACTTGTTTATGAGAATCGAATAATTATACTTTAAAGATGTTTTTCAACATTTGCCATCGTATAGCATGTTGTTAAAAAATCATTTGAAAAATATGTTGAATTATGTATACAGAACTGGAACAACAGTTATTGCCTGTACTCTGACCACGGTATTCCTCATCGGAATGGAATATGGTAAGATTCATATTTCGTAAAGAAACTGTAGGTGATATGTTATCCCCACTTTAAAAATTATGTTCAAACTATATTTTCTGCAATGCATGGCGTATGTAGATAATAAGCCTTTAGTAGCTTACCAAATATAAGGGTTTTAAAAATCTTAGCACGGTTTCAATCAAATAAGCGTTGTTTAAATATAACTTATGTTAAACGCATTCAATGTTTTAGGTCAAAAATATTGACTGAAGTCTCACAGATCTTCACAGGTAAAAACATATCTTTATTTGGCGCTCCAGAGGTAGGTGTACCAATATAGAGGTAACTAATTTTGTTCGCCCATTTTACATCATTTTGTGTAAAGGAACTGAAACCTATGGGCAAGGAGTATATTCACTTGGCTAACACAGATAGTTCCGAACTCGGAAAGGAAAATCGGAATAAAATTATGGCCCAACCCTAACCTGGTACACATACTACGAGAGTACTCTTTTTTCATTGTTATGGCTTAATTTATAACAGTAATTATCAATCATTTTCAAACTAACTTCTTGAGATTTAAAACTTTATCAAATTCTGAAAATCGCTATTGTCAAAGGAGATTTTTTGAAATAATCAATTCATTCAATACAAAAATTAGAATTGCTTTTATTATCTCTAATAAAAACTATTTGCAATGTTTAATTGCACCAAAGAAAGTAAACAATGAAAGCGAGGCAATGACAAATTCATAATGTCTATATTAATAAATACAAATATGTGATTATACTTAACTATTACCAATGAATCATTGTATTCCTATTAAACTTTTTAATGGCAGAAATTGATTACAAGCATCAATATGTCTCGGGTTCAAGCTGGTGTAATTCTCCTTGACCAAAGTGAGTAAACTTTGCAACCTTGATTTTACTTCACCGACCTAAAAGATAAACTTATTCAATAAAACATAGAGGACTAAAAACAGTGTTTAATTCGCATTCGACAAAATGTATTAAAATAGAATAAATGTTCATTATAAGCATGTTTATCAAAATTTAAACTGGCGTTGTGTTTTTCATTTAACGTTGCGCAAAATATGATTTTTGATATTACACTCTTTTGACGGCTTTATCAAGTTTTAGTGTGTTTGTGGTAGGTTTTGGACGGTTTTTATAATTTTTTACTCAAGATCTGCACTTTGGAGAACCACAAAAAAAACTCCAATTCGTTATTTCTCTAATGTTTAAATAAGCTTAGTTTTTAATTGTGACAGAAGATGTAATTTGGCTAGTTATTGTAACTGGTATTAATGGATATTTTAATTTATAACTCCCGATTTGTCAATGCAATATCGTTTTTGCGAAGCAGTTCTGTATGTTTTTCCTAAAATATGAACTCATTGCTTTATAGGTAACAGTCACAGAATACAGCCTGAAAAAGATAAAAGAATAAATTTGGAAGGTAAATGTATATATTTATTTATATTTATTTGGAAATTAATATCGAAAAATGTTAGTGTGACGTAACCAGGCATAATACATACACTACAGCGTATTTTAAATATTTCAGCCGTTGAAAGAGAAATGAACAACTACAATCGTAAACGACCAGTATTACTCCTTCTATTTATGCTTTTGTTATTTTCAACAATTACCGTCAGTTACGACACAGTCAGCTCGGAGGAGTTGAAAATAATATTCAATGCAAGCACTCAATGCTCCGGATTGTCGCAACCGATTGCTTTTGCAAATTTCGACACCAGGGTCAGTCTGGTTACTTGTCAGTTTTTTACTCTGCTTCATTTCTTGGTATTGAAAAATAAAATGTAAAAATTGGTAAAAAGATGATTTTTATTATTCCAGATTTTCAGTGCAACAGCTATCGTCATCTTTGCGCTAAAGAATTATACTTTGATGCTGCCTGTCTGCGTGGAGGAATTGAAGTACTGTTTTTTTGTTATTATGCCATCAAAGATGATAACTGGGTTTTTATTCGATTCTCTTTTCCAAGCGCATGAACTTATACTAATCTATACCATGGCCCTGTATTAGTCCAACAAAACAAGACATTTTTGATATTGCATTGATTGTGCTCCATACAAATTTTAAGATAATAAAGCAATGTCACAAACATTTCGTTTCAATCACATAAACACTTCTTTAGAAAAAAAACTCAACCTTCCACAGAAATTGTGAAATTAAAAATTATGTCAAACTGAACAAGAAATAAACTTGATCTGATAATATTTTACATTTAGATATCCGAAAAAAGAATTTACAACGCTTGTGTTTTGGTCAGAAGCAACCCTGGTTCTAATTTATACATTGTTTGCAATGTCAGTTTATATGACATTCGGAGGTAAATGTTAAAATGGATGTATGCTGTTCAATATTGTTATTGAACATTTTGACTGTATGTACGTTAAAATGAACGTCGTTAGACGCATTATTCCTGATTAATGGGGTCTGATATGGCACACCCACTATATAGAAGTAATTGTGGTTCTATACATATACTAGACCCGATTAAAGTTTATCGCATTGGGATACAATTAAATAAAGTTTATTTGGAGTAGAATTTTTCCCCGGTAACAATGTTAGAAAAAAAATAGAAACAAATCAATTTTAGTACTACTTCTAACAAAACCAATAAAAGTTGTTTTTTAAATATTTCAAAAAATGTAACGTTTGATTAGTAATATTAGCTTCATAATTGTTCATTTCAATTCTTTTTTTTTTTATTAAGAATCCGTTTCACCATTGTTTTTGACAAGTTACGGAAAAAATATTGTCGGATTTCCTTTGGTTTGCATCGCCCTTGCCATGACCCTAAATGCGATGCTTCTCAGAATTATCGGGGTAAGCAGCTACTATTTCCCTTTTATTATTCTTGTTTTTTTTATTAGTTTATCTATATATAAGCTACCTTTTAGTTGAATCTGACCTCATGTGTATTACTCTTGTGCATACTTTTTCACCAATTGTCCGTATTTGGCTGTTTCAATTTAAAACAACTCCAAGACACAGTTTATTCCGGATATTGACGTTATAATCATTGATGGAACTCAAAATGTTAGAAACAGGTTCTTTTTGGTGTCAAATTCGCTAACAACAGGCTATCATTTGAAAATACATATGTCATGCCACGACGTGAGCTAGATTAACATTGAAAAGCTTTAAATAAATCTAAATTATATCATCCGAAATGCCCAATTGCTGCTATCGTCTAATTAAGTCTAAAACCAAAAAAAAACAATGATCACGACATTCGCAGAACGAATTCCCCTGAATCTCACACCACTGGTTATACCCAGTGTTCAGTATTTTAACGTAACATATTTGTATACAGTGCATCAAGCTGATACAAGTATTATTTATGGACAACGACACAGAAAATGTTTTCTGGCTTGTTGTAATATTTTCAATATTTGGATCTCTTCTGTTGGCACTCGTTGTAAAAGACACGGTATACCTTGTGGTACTTGCAGGTAACCCGAGTTTTAATATTGTTCATCATATCTTTATTGAAGTTGAATAACTAAAATTATTTACCATTTCGCACTGTATTTGGAGTCTTATTTCATAGGCGCACTTTCCTCGAACCACATTTTAGTTGTTACATTTCTAATGCTTTTATATCCTTTTACGTTAATATTTCATTCTGAATTTGATTAAGATGGTAGCAATAATCGTTATAAGGGGCTCCCGGAGTATGCGAACCAAGATGGCGGACATCGGAATGTAATATGTGTACTAGGTTAGGGTTAGGCCATAATTTTAGGTATAAATACTACGGGAGGCTCTTGGCTAGTCTTCGAACTGATAATAGGACTAAAATAAGGAAAATTTGAAAAAAATTATCGCTTAACCCTAACCTGTTACCCATGTTACGTTCCGATGTCCGCCATCTCGGTTCGCATACTTCGGGAGCACCCGTTATAAAATGTTTTCACATAACAGTTCAGCACGTTGCCAATATGTAAACAGCTAATTATCGTTTTTTAACATTATTGATCCCATGTAGTAACGGTGTGGGTTTTACAAAGTAAAGGCGTGAACAAGGGAGCTTTTGTAGAAATCCCCCGCCAGTTATGCAAAAATGTGAGATTCGTGAAAGACACTCTTGCCGCGTTCCAGTGCTGCAGATTGCGCTCGCCACATTTTAAGTACTGCAAAATTCTTTCTGAATGCTATCCCTAACTAAATAATTACTAATTTTATATTTTGGCGATGGCGGGGGTGGTTTTAACAGTTGGGGCTAAATTCTGAACATGTCTTAAGCATGTTATTATATAGTTGAATTCACGTTGTCAGGTTATTTCCAGTTTTTATTTTCCAGGTTCAGTGACTTGCAACCTGCTTTGCATAATCTTTCCTTGCATCTCCTACTTGAAGTTTAAGAAATCCAGAAGAGAATTCAGTTTTGACATTGTACCGGTATGTTAACTGCTTGTTAGAACGATACTCAATAAATTTATTTATTGCTTGTCATCATATAGTTACAACTGACAACTGTTATGTTTGAATTTATTATTTGATAAAATACTGTCTAACATCTTTGATCTCAATATGCATTAAAATGGCTGCAAAAAACAAAATCAAACAAATACGGAACATATACAAAACAAAATTGTAAATCAGTGTTACAGTTCAATTGATTAATTCATACCAGTTGCAATAGTTTGATTGATTTAACTTATCGTTATTGATTTCAACAGTGCAGCTTTTTTTAATTTTTTTTATTCTATTTATTTCAGACTTTCTGCAGCCTTTTATGGCATAGCGTGTTGCTGATGTCTGCACCGTTCACTCTCTACACGCTTGATCCTAATATAGGTATAGGTTGTAGAAAAATTTTCAACATTTACTGGAAATGATCCATCCAACTTTATTTTGAACTACATCTTTGTATAAAGTATATATATTGAGGAAAAAGTTTGATAAATTTAAGATGATTATTCTTGTTGGACTTGATAACATTTGCTAATGAAAACATACAACTGGGTCAAAATTCAAGTAAATAAAACACCATATTCAAGAATTGAAACTTTTTCACAATTTCATATTTTGATAGTGTAGATTAGCACTACGGTATTTTTACATAGCCGATATTTATTACCACGACTATATATAAATATATTTTTATTTCAATTTGCTTAAATCTGCTTGGACATTTTATATTTTTTACTGCAATGGAGCAAATTGAAAACTTTTATTTTGCCAAGCTCCCTGTTATTTGCTATATATATTTTACCGGGCCTAAACAATGAGCAAACACTTTACATAGCTGCAAATTCTAGAATTGATTAGGGTTTATCATTATCTTATATATAGAAAAATGTTACTGGATTTTAACATTATTATTTTACAAAATGCTCCGAATTGTTATATTCATATGCAAATCAAAGAGTTATTATTTGAAGAGCAATAATTTAATATCGTGTAAAGATGTCATCAATCGATCTTCTACTGAAAGGTTAAAATCGACTGAGTCAAATGTCAAGACCTACATTACAACAGCTAAATTAAACCCAACAAACAAAGTATTAAAATCAAATATAGATCCAATTATTCTCACCACTTATTGCAACAAATAAATGGGGAGAATATATTTCTACATAAACTTCAGAAGTGAAAAAGCAAAACAAATTTATTATAGTTCAATTTGGATTGATGATATGTTGATTGCATCAGTTGTAAGAAAATATTCAGTATCGCTATATTTTTATATTCCGTGGGTTTCGGACTTGAAAGAATCTTTGGATGTTGTGTTATATGTTGGATGCATTATGACAATAATATTAATTACAGACCACAACGCCATCTTAAAAGTAATGTGCTATTTTCAGTATTAAATGTAAAAATGCATTTTTTTTTATACAATTTATTATTATCTTAATTGTATTGTGACATCTATATTAAAAATCATATTCCTATAATATGTTATGATGAATTCCAAAATAATTGTACGAAACAAAGTATTGCGTCACAGAGCCCTAACTTGGCAAATTATCTGTGGGATCATGCCAAAAGAACGCATGGTAGCGCCATAAGTGAAACACTGGTGAAGTTAACTTGAAATGGCGCGTATATAAAGATATTACTTTCTATTCAAATACTTTTATTAATTAAACGAGGAAATGTAAAAAGGTGTGAATTGTGCAGGGTTGAAACTAATGAATTGTCTCGTGTCGGATTGAAATCGCACTCTTCTGAAGACTTGATATGACTGAAGGTAATTTTCGAATAAAAAATTACACCACACGATTCAATCTTTTGTGAAATTTAAAAATGTGAATACAACTAAAACGTCACTGGAGTCCGGCAGATAAGTGGCGATTTTGGGCCCCACCTTGCCGTGCCATACCGCTGAAAAGAGAAGAGGGAATTGAGGACTCCTTACAGTGACGTACATCACGCACATAACCTCAGGCAGATCACAGCTTTCATAACCAGTTCTTTGTTTAAAATTTAACCAGACGAGAGACCGTGGTACGTCTTGTGTGTCGCTGCTCGATAACTAGCTTAGGTTCCTCGCCACTTCCCATCCCAGTAAACTGTAATTTTCATATTTTTCTCGTACTTTCTGTGTTCAATCGTTTCTTTATTTACTGATTAAAAAAAAGTTGACTTTACTCGCCAAGTGATTAAGCCATATTTGCGGCTTTCACTCCCATGGGATAAATAAATTGTACCCTATCCATGTTATCAAACATGTTTTGAATGAATTCTACCTAGGCATATACAGGGCGTCCCAAAATAAATGGAACCAATGAATTCGATTACCCAGCCACTACCCACCCAAAATTTGAAACTGGTAAATATATTGGGTTTCAAGAAAACAATCTTGATTCAAGAAGTCTAGTTGCCAGGCAAAGACACTATAAATAAAACTAATTAAAAGTCGTGTTCGATCATTCTAAACTTGTGGTTGACACGCTGTCTAGACACAAACGAAAAATAAATTAGAATGAGTAGAATGCATGCTCATGACGTCGACTAGCGGTTACGTCAACCACCCAACTGCGACGAGGAGTAAGTACCTCAATCTTCTCGCTCATAAATATCTCTCACGGCATACGAACCCGCAAAGGAAAATAACATGTGTGGCATGCTTAATCCTCACGCTTAGTACGATGTGTCATGCCGCCGAAGAGAGTGAATCGCGAACATCTTACTGTGACGTACATCACTCACATAACCTCTGGCAGATCCATAACCAGTTTCTGTGAAATTATAATAACAAGGTTCAGTGTCTCATATGTTGTCCAATTATTTCTGTTCGAAAATAATACAACATCCGACAACATTACGGATCATTACATAAAGAAAAATATCATGTCTATACTGAAACAATTCGTCACTAAAAGGTATTGCAATTAAAATATTCACTGATAAAACAATTTTTTCTCAGACATGAACAAAACTTGTGAAGCTTCGGTGAAAGCAAGCATTGCCATAAGTGAGATGATTGCGAAATCGTCGGGTCCTTTTGTTGTAGGAAGCTTTATTAAAGAGTGTATGTTGAGGGCTTGCAAAGTAATTAGCAGCATTTTAGCACAGTGAAGGTTACCAAATCAGCCTTTCGCACACGACTAGCGCACAAGAGTTTATATGCTGCCATAGGACTAGCAAACCAGCGTAAATTAAGGCCAAACAACGCAGTCTCTCACCGCTACAAAACGGTTACAAATATCCAGCACAAGTAAATGAATATGTTTCATGTCTCGTTTGGTGTTAGTTCCAACTGTAATTTCAACGAATATATTCTGATCTTTTTGGTAATTTTTGTATAGCAATTTAGTACCTAATTTGTTGGCCTATTTTTGGTACCTTATCTGTTGCCCGCGTCGTCAATAAATTTCAAAAAGTGGCCCGCGACATATTTTGAGTTGGAGACCCTTGAGTTAGACGAAGGCTAGGCCACAGAAACAATTTCAGGTGGGTCACAAACCTATTAAAATTGTTAGAGTAGTAATTTATTTGTGTCACTATATTTAAATTTTTATTGTAGTAGCAATGAATGATGATGCTTTTTATTGCTATAAAGTGGTAATTTTCATTCTGATTATTAGAGGTAGAATCTCTATTTTTGCGGAAAGAAATTTCGTTTTTTCTCTAGTTTTTTCCTTGCATTAAATAATGAATTGACCACAGAATTTATATTGAACGAAAATAAGCCACTTAAAATAGGTTGAGGACCACTGGTCTAGAGAGTGGAATATATCACCACTGTGCAAATGAGTTAACATACAATTAGCCCATTTGCAAAATGTGTATGTCATTTCTGATCCAGGATTTCAGAACTTTTGAATATTACGACAAGGATGATGCATAGCCTATATTTTTTGAATGAACCTCCTATAATATGAATAGGAACAAGCAGGCGCATTAGTAATTATTAGACAATATCATTGAAAATTGCCAAGCCATCCAAAATGTACATTATCTACTACGGTACTAGTGACGACTAAAAAAGCTATGCAAGGTAGGGAGGGGTAATCAAAGTAATGGTAGTCATGAATCAACTGAAGTTCTGGTTGATTTTGTGGAGTCGGTACAATATCAAAGGTACACCAGGTGGCAGTTCAACCGTTTGACCCAACCCCTTGAGCTATAAAACATACTTCACGAAACCGGTAGTCGATATGGCTGGTTATGAGATCGGTAAGGTGGCAGATATTTTCAGAATAATTAATTGGTATAGGTAGGGTTACCATATTTTTGTGACTTCAAATCGGGACGCCTCGACAACGACCCCTTAGCTGTGATTTTACAACTTCACATTTTCCGATTTTACTACATTGGCCTACATTTAAAGCTGTCTCGGCTGTCTTTATTGACCATATTGTTATCGGAATTTCATGCGCATATTCACTGTCAATATATAGGGTTCAGTTCGAAAAATAGGAAGGAATTTACGCTAACGATACCTGTACAAATAATTCGACTAATTAGTATTGGTTTTACATGCGATACGTCTGTGGTCATCAATGGGAATCAGCGGGAAACGAACGCATTCACCTTCAGTAAGTAGGCTAGCGCTGCGCTACACAGAAACAATAGTAACGAGAACATGTTTGTGTATTATGCTGGAAAAGCGGGACTTTTGGCTGACTTATCGGGACGGCGGGACAAAACGCTGAAAAGCGGGACTGTCCCGCCTAAAGCGGGACGTATGGTAAGCCTAGGTATAGGTAAATGAACAGCAACCTCACGGACAAATCCTACAAGGAAAAACTAAATCATAACTTAAATTTTGAATAACGCAGAGAATAGAATAGCGCATTACAAAACATATTTAACCCAAAATTTATAATATCGTTATGTTATCTCTTATCGAAATACAATTTTTATGTGCTTGATGTTTTGAATAAATAAAAACCAAACTTGGTAAGAGCAGAACTGTACCACTGCACTTAACCACTGTATTAAAGCTTATCCGCTAATAATGGTAATTCGAAGGTGAATTTCCAAATGATATCCGTATCCCTATACATCTGCTTCTTCAAATTCATATTACGTTCCAAGATGCTAATCAAGGTGAACATAAAATTATATTGTAAAATTAAATGTGAGTACGTATTTGCAGTAATTTGCGGCTTGACGGGTCACCGATATAAACCTACAAAATATTTAATATCTATTTACTAGATTAGAGTTAGTAGATTATGTATTCGATCGCAGGATGATCCGATTTGAAATATTATCTTTTTTTAATTATGAAATGTTTTATTCGTCGCATTCCGAATATATTCCTCAGTCACGTGGACTCCGACCATAATTACCCATAGTTCCGTCGTTACACGTGTTTTGTCTCTTTCGGTTTCGACCTTGCAGGCACACGTTCATTTCGGCCAGGTTCAGGTTTGCTCCAGGTGTTCGTGTCGTCTTGGTATTTGACATGTAAAGGTAGTTATTTTATATTTGTTTCATACATCATACGCATGCTATACGTGATATTTTCTACCAGTTATTCTGAATATCCTTGCCTAAAATTTCACGGCACAATACAATATATATTATAGCCGTCTATGTTTTCCATCTCAGGAGCAGGAATTTGAAAAAACATTGCAGTTCTACAGAATGATGAAAACAAGGACTTCAGCGAGGTTCGACGATGTAGGTATTTCATACGTATATATATATTATTTTTCACTACGTTTTGTAAAATATCCTTGATTTCCTGTGATAGGTTGATGGAAGGGCTGGGAATTTCAGGAAAAACTTTAACCGTTAACCGGGTAAAATTAACCGGTTGACCGCAGCGTGACGTTTGGCATAATAATTTATAATTTTAGCTTTTGCGCCAAGATGGTTACAAAGCAATTTCGGGTGATCTCATCCCGGTATAGCACAAAATTATTCATGTATGCTGCCAGAGATATGCATCGTTCATCGGACATATGGAAGTATTTTAGTAAAACTCTAATCCGGTATTAAATGTCATTCATGTGACAAATTTTAGTGTGCAAATTCTACTTTAAGATATCACAAAGAAAAACAGCATCAACTGCGCACTTGTTGGAAGACATTGAATATACGATTTTGCAATGAAATCGTGAACAATATATTTCGACCGAACACTGATTCTGAATTTATCATTTTCAAACATTAATAATCAGCAATCTTGGTACTTCAAAATTGTTTTCACATTCATTGGGTCCTTACCAATACTTAGTAATATTATTCTGAATTAAACGCCACAGGAGATAATTTTGCGATGACGTAATCATTTTTGAATGAATGGTACATTATAAAGATGATTTATACCAGAGATGTCGGTTAACGGTTAAAATAAATCGTAACCGTTAAGCATCTAAAATCAGTTAACCGATTAACAGTTTAACCATTCTCAGCACTAGTTGATAGAGTAATATAATATAGTACGTCCTGTTTTCATTTCTGGGTTGTTAGCAGAAGATACATGTTCTATAGAATTGCTGCGAATGCACGAACGATGAAACTGAATCATAGACCTACAAGATGAGTAAGCTCCATGTTATTAGGATACGATTCAAGTTAACTATTATTTGTTGAGGGCCATAAGGCATGTTTAGCAAATCAAAAAGTTAGTGTTTTTAATGTTTTAGTGGTATTTTAGTGGTGTTATAAGTTTTTTTTTTTATTAGTATATATAGATAAAAATATGAAAAGTTAAACGTTTTGTCTCATGTACGGGTGCTCCTTATTAACATTTAATATTAACGTATTAATGTATATCACGCATGAGATGTGCTTAATAAGTGACGACTAATATCAGTTGTAAGCAAACTCACGGCGAGAATTTTCAGCTAGAACCTAATTTGTGCCTAAGAGAACCATTAACGGATAGGCACTGTAGGCGCATGTAGCTGCGCCTATCTGTTGAACTCGCCAGAGTATGGACAGACTAATGATTTTCAGCACTTGCGTGTAACCGACACTACAGAATGCACAATTTGGTCACGTTTTGTCAATACCTAGTTTCAGAAAAATATCTACATATTCAATTAATGCAATGAGTATATCATTGCAACATTGTGGATGGTATACCTCTTAGCATCTTCTAACGAACTCTTCGTTCTTGAACAGCCCTTCCACCACGTGCGTCCGACATTATACTTATACCTGCCTGATGGCAATGAGGCTGCCGAACGTAGAATTGAATATTTGTCTTAGCGAGCAAAAGATATCTTGAGCATCTATGACTGTCCACTCTCTCTTGTCTCCAATTTTATAAAGCAATGTTTCAATGAATTTAGTGTAGTCTTATTCATCTTTTTTCAACGCGTTTTTTCAAAATGAAATAGAACTGCAATAACAACA